AGAGGCGCACGCGGCACCCGGGCGCTCATCGTGGCCTCCTGTGGAAGGGTGAAACAAATCTGGCAGCCCGCGTTTCCAAAAATAGCCAAATAATTAAGCGAATTACAATCTCTTGAGAGAATATTATTCAGCCATTAAAAATTGTAATTACTGAGGCCGGCCCTGATCCATCTTGGGTGCCTGATAAATAACCGTCAAGTTTTTTCCTTGCCTGTTTTGACTTCATGCTTTATTTTGGCAATAAGTATTTCCTGGCTTCACAATCTTTAAAAAATTAGACTACATCCATTTGGAAAAAAATGTTCATTTAGGAAGGGATTATATTAATAAAGAAAATGCTTATGTGAAATAAAAAAATAGATTACACAATTGAGCCCATGGTATAATTACAGTAATGTGAAAATAAATAGGTTTTGCTAAGAAAGGGAGCAAAAATAAACCAACAAAATGGGAATGCTGGCTTGCAGTTTGGTGGCAGGACAGAGGGAGGAGCTCGTATGTCACTGACTTTCTGTGTGTTAGGGGCTTTCTATAAAGAGCATGCATCAGTAGGAAGGCACAGACATTGTTAAACATCAATCTGGGCATGGTGACACGTGCCTGTCACCCCAGTGCTTGGGAGGCTGAGTCAGGAAGACTGCTGGGAGTTGGAGGCCAGCCTGGGCTACAGCGTGAGTTTGAGGCTGGCCTGAACTACAAGGTGAGGCCCTGTTTCAAAAGCAAAGAAGAAGGATGAGAAGGCAGAAGGGGAAAGTCAGCAAGACAGCAGCAAAGAGAACGCCTCGCCTCGCCCATCTTTGTGCCAAGCTGCCTGGGACCCTCCTCTGCTGCCCCCTGCCAGGCTCCTCTTTTTGTGCCCTGGAAGTGGGCAGTCTGGGCTTTGCCCGCAGCTGAGGCCAGCCAAGGGCAGGCCCGGCATCCCGTGGCACAGCAGGCTGTGGCCTCCCTTGCCTGACCCTGTCTCCAGGAGCCGACCATGGGACAGTAGCCTGGGGTGGCTCTAAAGTGGGGCCAAGCAACAGACCACTCTGCGTGACGGGACGGCTCTCTGTGCATTAGGGCAGCGGGGCCAGGACTGTTCAGGGCTGAGTCTGGGGCCTGAGGCCGGGGACAGCGGCCTGGCACTGTGGCCTCCGCACAGCCAGCGGTGCTCAGCTGCACACTTAGCAGAGCAGCACAGAGGACACGGATTTTCCACTCCCTCCAGGGTGTGCACAGGGCCCTCGGATGCACAGTTGGATGAGTGAGATCTGACTGGCCACCTCTGACCACAGGGCACATTCATCTACCCAAGCCCAAGCCGGTGTCTTGCATTCCCACTTAGCAGGTGCTCAGATCAGAGCCCGAGCAATCATGGGACATGTCTTCAAATGTCCCTGAGTCCCTAAAACTCCTCCTTGAGGAGTCAGCCTTCAGCAGCTATGTGCCCCCCGGCGGTGGGCTTGTGAGTGGCTTTGGGATCCTTGTGAGGTGCCATGGACCGGTACACTTTGGAGTGGTGGAAAATTTTCTCCCTGTGTCACCCAGTGTGGTAGCCCCCGATGGCTACCAAGCATGTGACCCATGTCAGTGCGACTGACAAGGGAAATGTGTGATTTCACTTTTGTGAATTGCTGCCTATAGATAAAGCAGCTCTCAAAAGTGGCTCATGAAACATTTTTACTTTTTTTAAGAGACAAGGTCTTGCCGTGTGATCCAGGTTAGCCTCGAACTCATTGAGATCCTCCTGCCTCAGCATCCCGAGTGCTGGGATTACAGGCCTGTGCCAGTATGCTCAGCCATGAAGAAACTTCTCACCAAAACAGAACAGCTGCCTATTTGCTGAGGGCCCACAGACAGGGCAGAAACCAGCTCAGGACAATCGGAACGACGAGCACTCTGCAAGGACATGGGCGGCAAACCTCCCATGCAAAGTCTTGAGTCCTAAGTCTCAGCCTTGCTGCCCATGCCCAGGTTCTGCCATCCATCAGCTACACGCCCCATCCCCCTCCTCCCTCGCCCTGCTGCCACGTGGCTCGGACCCTTCTCCCCAGGCCACTCCCAGGCCAGTCGCCAGCACGGCCCACCCGACAGAAGGTGCCCAGGCAGGGGAGGGCCTTCCAGCCAGGCAGTCACTGGCCAAGCCAGGGCTGGGGAGAGAAGCCCAGCAGGGAGCTGGGAAATGGCAGGGGCCAGGAAGAGCCATCTGTGATACTATACGGCCTCTACTTGTCTGCCCAGCCCAGGATGCCAGCTGCAGTCACCAAGACAGCCCTTGTCAGTGGTGCTCACAGGTACTGAGCCCCTTCGTACGGGTCCCCTGAAGGGGTCAGACCGATGACTTACTGAAAAGTAAATCGTTCTCTAACCTGCTCTGCATGGGCAGAAGTCACCTTTTATCCTTTCTCTCAGTGAAGACATGTGGGTGGAGACACCAGTGTCGCAGCTTCTGAGCTGTGGGGCCTTCCCAAAAACTGTCTCAGCAGGGACCCTGGGCAACCAGTGTGGGCACACAGCGCTCCCTCCTGCCCCGTTCAGCACACACTTTTAGGGGCAAACTTCTCCAGATGCACGAACCAGACTCAGGAGCCTGGTGGCCCGTGTCCCTGCCCCGGTCCGGTTTTGCCACCTACCAGCTGTGGATCGGGAGCCAGTCAACTAACTCTCTGGCCTCCGTATGGCTGGCTGTGATGGGGGTACATGCACACCTGCCTCAGTGGGCTCCTGCTTCAGGTACATGAGGGGACATCTGGGAAGTGTTTGGAACAGAGCCTGGCAAAAGTGACTGCCATTATTACTGTCACAATTGACGTAACCCATGATGGTGACACCCACGAGCCATTAGTTTAAAATTACAGGGGTTCAGGTGCACTCAGTTCTCTAAGGCAACAGAGCAGGGGGGCCACAGTCCCAGGACACTGAGCTCCCGCAGGCCACACACTGAGGGGCTCTGAAGTGGACCCCCGCCCCGAGGCGGCCCCCTCTGACTCACAGTCAGGGTCGCTCCTGAAGCCGCCAAGTGCACCCCCGCCCTCTCTGCCTCTGGAGCAGGGAAGGGACTTGGCCAAGGTCATGAAGACCATCGGGCACAGAGCTGTCACCAGTGCTCGGAGCTCCCGTTGCTGGAGCCTGAGGTGCCTCTCTAAGTCTCCTCTGTCCTTTGTCCCCCCAGGGACCTGCTGTGGGCGCTCTCCCGGCATGCTCCTTGCTGCTGGGGGCTTCCCTCCCCACAGGCCCAGCTCTCCTGCTGGCTCTGTGCAGCACCCCTTCCCACGCCGCCCCACTTCCATCTGCCTGCCTCACCCCCTTCTGTCCCTCACTCCAGCCACCTGGCAGTGCTGGGCGCGCACCGGGCTGTGCCGATGAAGGCCAGCCATGTCCTTGGTCCTCCTCCACCTTGAGGTGAGGCGGCGGGGTAATCAATGGGCTGGGACCACAACTGCCCAGCCCCTGCCAATTGGCCTTCTTGCTCTCCCGCTGAGACTGCAGGGGCTGAGCCCCCCCCCATGCTAGGCTTCAGTCCCCTTGACTCCCTGCTCTGCATGCATCCCACCTCCCTTCTCCAAAGGCCTCCGTTTCTTCACCTGTGAAAAGGGGGGTGATGCAAACAGCAGCTCACTCATGTGGTTGACATGAGCCCAAGATGTAGGGGGTCCAGGAATCCTTATTAAGATAGCTACTAGGATGACCCCTTGCATACACACACAGGAGTGTCCCAGCCATGTGCTTGACATAGATGGGCCTCCACCCATGCTCTCAATGGAATGCTGCGTCCTCTCCCCTCTTGAGACCTCAATGATCCCATCTGAAAAATGGGGACAGAAATCCAGGTCTCACCTCTCTTTTTGGGTGAGTCTGCAGATTCTGTGAGGTCAAGGTCGTGAATGCACCACCCAGAAACCAAGAGGCCACTCTGCTAGGCCTATGCCAGGCACTCAAGCAGCCCAGGCTGGTCCCTGCTTTCAGCTGCTCAGGGACTAGAGAGGGGTGATGGCCAGAGATGAGGTGACAGAGCTGGGGGTGAGTGGAGGAGGAACAAGCCAGGGGCACCTGCCAGGCTGGTGCCCAAGCTGTTGGTAAGGAGCCAGGGGAGACTGTTATGAGGCCAGCTGGGAGCAGGCTGGGCTTGACCCCACAGCAGGCAGGGACCCACTTTAGATCAGCACCTTGAGGCCTTGCCTCTGAGAGACAGAGCCGCCTCACTGTGTGGTCCAGCCCTGGGATGAGGCCGGGCCCTACTACAGGGTACTGTGGCCCTGCCCTGCCTGGAGGCCAGTGATTGGAATGCTCTCTGAGCTCCCCCCAGACCCTGGCCCAACTGCTCTGCCCAGGCCCTTGTCCCCACCCTGTCTCCTAGCCCTGAAGCGGCTGCAACAGGCAGGGACCAGGTCCCAGAGAGAAGAGCGGTGGCCTAAGCTCCCAATCCAGAGCCCTGGCCGGCGCTTCCATCCCCGGGAACCCGGGGCCTCCAGCAGAAACCTTCTGGCCAAGGTCACACAGGTGAAGAGGGGCAGAGCTGTTCCCCAAGGATGGAGACACAAGTGTAGCCAGGGCACCGGGTCCATGCCAGCGGTGGGCTCGGCGGGCGGCTCTGTGGGCGTGCAGGGGACAGTGTGGGAACGTGCGAGGCGGAGGATGACACAGTACGAGGGCGCAGGGGGAGGGGTGCTGCGAAGCTCCGGGAAGGTGCGTGCGCACCGGCGACTCCCAGCCCAGGCCCCGAGCCCCCTCGGCAGCCCCCGGCGGCCTGGTTCCCCAGACTCGGATGCGCGTGCGCGCGGGATGCGGGGCGCTGGGCGCGGGGTGCGGGTGCGGGGCGCTGCCCGTTGGCCCCGGGGCCCCGGGGTGACGCGCGGCCGCGGTGCCGCAAGGACACGCAGGCCCGGCTTTGGGCGCAGGTGCCTCGGGAGGGGACCTGCGTCCCCCCACCTGCCGCCGCGCCGCTCGCTGGGCCGTCCTTCCGCCCCCGCCAGCGCCCGCGCCCACCTCGCCTGCGCCCGTGCGCCCTGGGCACCACTTACCCAGGCATGGGCACAGCCACCACCGCGGCCTCGGCTCTGGCGGACGCTGTCGCTGCGGAGGGCGCCCGGGGGCAACGATAACGATCCGTGTTAAAGACAGAACGGCCCAGGCACGGGGCGGCCTGGCCAGCAGCGCGGAGTAGGACCCTCTTCGGGAGCGAGGGCTGCGGCGAATGCTCCCCACGCTCCGCACCGGCAGCAGCGGCAGCGGCGGCGACGCGGTGCGCTTGGCTTCAGCCGCAGCTCTGAGCACGGAGGGAGGGAGGGAGGGAGGGAGGGAGGGAGAAAGGGAGGGGGGGTGGGGAAGGGAGGGAGCCGGTGTGGTGGTGGTGCTGGTGCTGGTGGTGGTGGTGGTGGTGGTGGAGGAGGAGGAGGAGGAGGAGGAGGAGGAGGAGGAGGAGGAGGAGGACTAAGGAGGAGGAGGAGGATGGGAGAAAGGAGGGGGCAGACAGTTGGGGGAGGAGAGAGCCTGAGACAAGGCTGGGGGTGCACTAGTGCATAGCACAGGCCGCAGGGCTGCAGGCCCTTCTGTCCTCAGGACACTAGTGGTGCCTGACCTTCCTAGCCTGGCTTTGCCCTGCAAGGGCACTGGCCACGTGGGGGTGGGTGCAGCTGTGTGGCACCTGGGAGTCGGAGAAATCACCTGGAGCCATGACAGGGACACCAGGCTGCCCTACCTCTTCAGAGCCCTGTCCTCTAGGTGTCTTTCCCCAGCAGCAACATGGGGGGCGGAGCTGGGGCTGATGGGGAGGGAGCCTGGGGTTCCTGGACCCAAAGTGGACTGAGGGATGGCGGCCCCCTGGACCTCTGTGGGACACAAGGTGACTGCACACACATAAACACCCCGAGACAGACCCATGGAATATACACATGCAGTGATGCCCGGCAGCCTGCTTCTTCTGAGATCCCTGGGACCCCTGGAGGGCTCTACCTGTGTTACCCAGCTGGGTAACAGCAGACACCTCTGCCCCCAGCCGCCTGGGGCCCTTGTGGAGGCCCCGGAGGAGCTCTCTGCCTGAGGTGCAAGGAGGGGACCGAGCTTGCAGGAAGGAAGGAACAAGTCTCTGGGCAGCGCAGGGGTGTCCTGTGTGCCAGCTGGGCCTGGGGACACAGCAGGGAGTGGCAGGCAGACAGGGACTGGATGCACACGCGTGGGGCAAGGGCCCCGGAGACCAGAGATCAGACTGACCAGACAGTGCTGGGGTCTCAAGGAAGGCTTCTTTGTGGTGTTGTCACTGAGGCAGACATAGGAAGGACAGGAAGGCGTGGCTGTGCCCCCCCCCTGCCCAGGGAGCTGTCACAGCTCCACAGCCTGCCCCTGCCCTGGAAAGAGCCAGGCTGTGTGCAGTGTGCTCAGAGTGGCAGAGGCTCACTCCCGAGTGCCACCCTGCCGCCACCCTCCCACACAACCAGGGCACACTTGTGTGCTCACCCACGTGGGCCCGCGTTCTCACACACTCATAGATGGTCACGGATCTACATAGCCCTGGGGCGCTCACACTCATGTCCACACTTAAACGCTCAGGGTTCTTCACACCTTCACCCAGCTGTTCACACATGGGCACAGCTATGTACCCACACGCATACTCACACACACCATCAACTTCCACACACATTTACACACCCGTTCACTCATGCAACCTCACACACTTGCTGCCCTTTGGCTGTGACACAAAAGTGGCACCTTGAGTATCCTCTGTAGGGACGGTGAACTGGCTGACCGTGAGGCTGAGGTGGATGGCACCACTGGGCAGTAGGCTGGGCACAGCGGGTCCCAGCTGTTGTTGGCCAAATGGCTACTTGCAGCCCAGGACCAGACAGGCTGGGTCCTCGGAGCCTGTAGCTGCTGTGGGTGCCCTCCCCATCACCTGCTCTGAGCTCTGTGCTGTCCCCTGCCAACTTCTTCTGACCCTGCATTTCCAGTGGAGCCACCATAGGACCCGGGGCACGGTGTGGCATTGGCTCTTTATTGCTGGCTCAGAGGCCTGGGAGTAGATGTGACAGCAGAGAAGAGACTCCCTTGGGGCTGTCACTACCTTCTCTCAGGGACCAGGGAACACACTGATCGTCCCCAGGGCATGCTCACTTAACTGGTGGCTGCTGGCCATGCGGTAGAGTTGACACTGGCCCTCAAAGTCTGGCCTGCTCCCTGAGGGTGTGACACAGGCCTTCTGCTGCAGGGGCAGAAGCAAGTGGGGGAGCAAATCTGAGCAGGGGTCACCTGCTGTCCCCACTTCACCTCTTGCCCTGGCTGGCCTTGCTGCACGACTTCAAGATGGCCCCGGAAGCCAGGATCAGAGAACCAGGGCACAAAGTGTCGTGGAAGCCCCCAGTCCTGAGGAAATTCTGGTCCCCAAATTGTTACTGGCCAGGAGCAGGAGCGGTACCCTTTTTGAGGTTCCTGTCGGTTGGTCTCTGGCCCAGGACCGGGGTGAAGAGGCTCGCGTCCGTGCTGGCCTGCACTCACCGGTTTCTCAGTCAGCAGAGCTTTGCTAGAAAGTTGTTCTGTCTTCTGCCCCAGAAATACTTAGGCAGCCAGTCCCAGGGAAGTCCCTGCTACCCTGTGTCCTCCCCTGCTCTGCTCCTCTCCCACGGTCCCACACCTACACCCTCAGTGCCCTGGGCCTGCCTCCTCAGGGACCCCAAGCCCCCTCTGTCCTGCACCATCACTCTCTGGCCCAACCTCTAGGCCATGTGCCCCCTTCCCTGCTCTAGGCAGTGGCAAGTGTCTCAGAAGACAGAGGCAAGAAGCCCTGTGACAATGGAAGCTGGGCTACCCAGAGCCAGCAGAAGCTGGACCAGGCTGGAAGGGTTCTCTGTTCGATCTTCAGAGTGTGGGGTTTCGGGCCTCCAGAAACCTAAGGGAAGAGGTGTTTGCAGGTTTAAGCCACAGGGGCAGTGCTCATTTGTCATGCGAGTCCCAGGACAGTCACACAGGCCTAACTGGGCCACAGGGAGCTGGAGCGCCACCTTACCAGCCCCGTGCACTGCGACCCTTCAGCTCTGTAGCCTTTGCTCCTGCCCTCCACCTGGCCCTCGGCCCCCCCGCCCCACCCTGGCCTGGGCCTGGCCCACCGCCCTCCAACAAGTCCAGGCTTGTCTAAACCCAAGCAGTGGATTCGGCTTAGGCTCCAGCTGGGCCCTGCCACATCCAGAAGGCACCTGACCTGCACAAGTGCTCAGCAGTGGCCTCTCTCCCACCCCCAGGCCCCTCCAGGGCTGCCCCTTGGCAGCTACCCTGTGTACGGAACAGCTGTCCCCAGGCAAGCCTCTCCCGTGACAGTAATGTGTGTGCGCACGTACGCGTGTGTATCCCTTTTTGTGGGCCGTGTGCATGTCAGTGTGTGTGCTTGCCTGTGCATGGGTGTGTGTATGAATGTGTGCACTGGACTTTGTGTTTCTTTGTACGCATGCGTGTTTCCATGTCTGGGTATGCACTTGCGTGTCCATGTGTATGTGTTAGTGTGTGGCTGTATGAAGTCGCACATCTCTGTATGTGTGTTCACAGGTGCGTGTGCATGTGTGTCTGTGTGCATGCATGTGTTATGCGCTTGTGTGAGTGTCACATGTGGTCTGGTGGCAGCCCCAGCTAGCCCCTGCTCTGTGCTGCAGGCCCCAGGTGGTGCCCCTCACGGCCCTCTTCCTCTGACCTTCTGCCCTGCCGGGCACCCCACTGGCCTCGCAGTCCTGGCCAAATCCCCTCGACCCCAGCCTGCCCGCTCCCTTCCTTTCATTCCATATCCAATCTGTCCCCAAGCTGCAGTGGGCTGGGATGTGTCCCCTTGGCTCTAGATCCCCTGCATGCATGCCTCTGCTGCCCTGGGGCTTCCTGAGACCACACCTGCTACCGGGCATCACCCTCTGTTCCAAGCCGCCTGCATATGACAGTGAGTGTGAGTGTGAGCCTGAGTGTGGGCTGCTGGCTCGCAGGGTTTTCTTTCTTCTTCTTTCTTTCTTTGGTACTGGTGATCGAACTCACGACCTCGAGCTTGCAGGCAGGTGCTGTGCCACTGAGCTACATCTCCGGCCTCAGGGTGGGTTTTCTGTAAATTACCATTGTCATCTACTGGCTTGTGACATGCGTCATAGAGCGAGGCTGAGGGACTCACGCTCACGCTGCAGGCCAAACCACAAGCCCAGGGCGCTGGCCCTGTTTCTGGCCGGCATGGGCACCCTGTGTCCTGAGCTGAAATGAGAGGCCGCAGACTCAGGGAGGGGCTCAGGGAAGCGCACTGGGGAAAGCCAGGCCCGCAGTGCCGGGCTCCGGCCGCCCCTCCTCCCTGCCAGCAAGGGGACTTGACCGTGGCCCTGACTCCTGGTCCCTGGCCAGTGCCTTTGCCCTGTGCCTGCCCAGCTCGGCAGAGGTCGCCAGGCCATGGAGCACAGGCCCCAGAATAGTGCTATGATGCTGCCGAGTGACATTCTATCGCTGGGCCACCACACTGAGCAGTCTACCAGCCTGAAAAGGAGAAACCTGGGTACACTGAGTGTCCCACAGGCTGAGATAAGGGCACGGCTGTGTCCAAGGAGCCGCCCCAGCACCTCTGGATGGCCGGACTGTCATGTAGGTATGCTCACGAGTGCCTGTGCTCAGCTCTCACCCATGGAGTGGAGACCTGGCCTGTGGGGCATAGAGGGAGAGCTGCCAGGCCTGCCTCCGAAAGAAACTGTCTGGGGACCTCCTTTTCTGGGCAGTTGTGTGTCCCTGGTGAGCTAGGTCTTCTTTCAGGGCACCCAGGGGGACTTTTAGGGGTGCCGGGCCAAATCCAGCAGTGTACTGCCTGAGCCCGGGGGCCCTGCCCCTCTGCCCCTTCCTGGGTGGGATCACGGGGATTGTGTACTCTCCTCTCCAGGAGGGCAGGTGACCTTGTGGGCCCACCTTGCTCCTGAAGCCAGCCCAAGGGCAGCTTGGAGGAGTGGGGTCGTGGCCAGTGCCTGGGCCTTCCTCCGTTTGCAGTCTGGGGCCTGGGGGTTACAAGGACTGTCTTCTGAGGGTAGGAAGGTGGCTCCTCATGTCTCTGCTTGGTCCCCCAATGCCACCCCAGGAGCAGGGGCACACAGAGCCATATTGCACAGTGTTTCTTTAATTGAAGGACAACCGACCTCAGAAGCAGCCCTCCTTGAGCTGGGTGTGACTGACACCCCTGCCACAGCAGGGACCAGAAGGCGAGGGGGCGGACTAGCCATCAAGGGGGGACTCTGGTGGCATGCCGATCCTCCTAGGGGACAGAGGGATCACTTTTCCATGGTGGCACGTAGCTGCCTCTCTGGGCAGACTGCATGGGTCTGGCCTTTACCTTCCCATCTCCCTGGGGGCAGAGCAAGGCTGAGGTGCACCTGGCCCCCACTTATCTGAGCAGGGGCCTGTGACAGCAGAGCTAGCCCAGGGCCGAGGGTCAGGGTGTGTGTGTGTATGTGTGTGCATGTGTGTGTGCGTGTGTGTGAGAGAGAGACAGAGACAGAGACAGAGAGACAAAGAAGAGACAGGGAGACAGAGACAGAGAGAGAAAACAAATCAAGTCCAGGAGCGAGCAGGTCACAGAGTCCCAAAGGGAGAAATGTGTCAGGAAGCATGACAGACTGAAGGGGAGGGGACAGGGAGATGGGCCAGCAGAGTGAGGTGGTCACAACAGAGAAGCCCCCAACTTGGTGGCACGGCAGCTGAAGGCTGGGGGGCCTGGAAGCTGGGACAGATGGACGAGGAGGAGGAGTAGGAGGGGGAGGAAGAGGAGGAGCAGGAGGAGGAGGAGGAGGGGGAGGAGGAGGAGGAAGAACACAGGGACTTCCTGTCTCTGTCCCTATCAATACCATTCACCACACACCCATGGGCCGGTCCCTAGAACTGGGGTTTCAGAGTGAACAAGAAGAAAGCTTCTCAGGGGTGCCTCTGGGTGGCCACGGTGGGGGGCAGGGCAGCTCTGAAGCCGAGGGGGCAGGTGATGGGGGCCAGGCCCTGTATCCACCTGCATGCTTGGGAGCCAGGGAAGGCAGCCACTCAGGGCAGGGGACCGTAGGTGGGGGGGGCTTCCCTCTTCCCTGAGCCCGCCTCCAGGACAGCGGGCGCTCTGTTTCCCCAGAGATCCCCACCAAGGCCACCATGGTGGCTGCCGTTGCCTCTACTTTTTGTAGTTGCCAAACTGGATGGCCAGGCGGTCAGTGACGCAGCGGAAGGTGGCAGGCTGCACCTCCCAGTAGGGCACGGGGTTGCTGAACAGGCTGATGCCGTTGTAGTAGGCCCGCTTGACACCAAAGCCCACGGGGCAGAAGTCGTTGACACCCACTTTGGTGATGTTGTTGGAGTGCAGATAGACCACCTGGGGAAAGAAGGGTAGTGCTGGGGCACTTTCCCGTCCCGAGGGCCCCATCGCCCCAGAGCATCCCCTCACCTCTTCTGGCCCAGGCAGGTGCTGTGGGGACTGATGTGGGAGGTGGGGAGGTGGGGAGGTGGAAAGTGAGGTCTGGGTAATGGGCAGCCACTGGCCAAGACTGGGTCTCCAGTGTGTGACCAGGAACCAGAATGAGGAGCTCAGGTGGGGTGCACAGCAAGTGCCATATTGCTTGCACGACGTCTATGCAGGAAAGATGGCACCTTGGGCTGACAGAGAGCTCCTGGTCCTTCCTCAGCTTCCCTCGATGGGGAGCAGAGGAGAAAGCCTTCAGGATGCCCCCCTCTGCTTCTGGTCTTCTGGGACAGTGGACTTCTGGTCACAGCTGGCTAACCCTGAAGCCACTCTCTTGGAGTGATCAGTAGGGGCTTGAGCAAGCCCGCTGGGGGCAGGGAGGCAGCCAACCACTAGAGGGCGCGCTCAGCCCAGCGAGGGCCACTTCACCGCCCCAGGAGCTGCGGCCGGGCTGTTGGGTATGGCCCGGCATGGCAGTGCAACTGTGGGGCTGCATGGCTAGCTAGGATGACAGCGTCGCTACCGTTGTGAGTGGGGCAGTAGGGAAGACTGGAGTCCCCTAAGAGCCTCACGTGTGGAGGGCGACATAGTCCTGGGACTGCGACAGAGGGAGCGGGGACCGATGGTAGGACCCAGAGGGGCCTGTGCAGCCCTCCATGCACAGCCCACCTGGAGGAGCTTGAGATCGGGGAGCCCTGCAGGCACCCGGGACAGCTTGTTGTTGTCCAGGTGCAGCTCCCGCAGGGTGGGCAGGAAGCTCAGGCTGCCATTCTCGATCATGCGGATCTGGTTGTGGCCCAGGCCCAGCCTGCGGATGGGGTGATGACAGTCCTCAGAGGCGGGGGTGGGGGTGGGGTGGGATGGGGTGGGGAGAGTGGGGGGCAAAAGGGTGGAGGCCGCCGCACCCTGGGCTGCTCCTGTGGGTTCCCACCTGTACAGCTTGGAGTAGCGCAGCAGGTCCTCCAGCTCGATAGCCTGGATTTTGTTGTGGTCCAGATGGAGCTCATTCAGGGTCTCGGGGAGATCTGCCGGAGAGGGGGGCTCCAGGTGAATTCGGGTGCTGGGGGAGCTTGGCGAGCCAGGCCCCTGCCGAGTCTGGCCTACCTTTGGGGATACCAGTGAGCTTGGCCTCGGAGATGCGCAGGTAGTTGAGCTTCAGGCCATCGAAGGCTCCAGGTTCAAAGCCGCTGTTCTCCAGGGGGTTCCCGCCCATCTCTAGGAGACAGGCTCTGTCAGCCCTGCTGGGTGTGGACCCTCGCACCCACCTCCTCCTAACCTTGGCCACTGGGAGCAGGGAAGCCAGAAGAAAGGGACACCCAGAGATGAACACGGGCTGCCAGAAGCCATTGATCCCTCTGGCCAGCACCAGGACCTCTCCCTTTCCTCTCTGGCGGCCCAGTCATTGCGCAGCCTCCCTTTGGCTGCAGTGATCACCCACGTTGAGGGTTTGCTGAGAGAGACACCCAACTTTCTTTGAACTGGTTTCAAGACTCTTGAGCTGAACCTTTAAAGCCACCCGGGCTGTAATGCCGGGTTGTCTGGGAGGCTGAGGGGAGAGGATTGGAAGTTTGAGCCTCACCCCTGCAATTTAGCTAGACCTTGTCTAAAAGAAAAGAAAAAGAAGGGGCTGGGGATTTAGCTCAGCGGCATAAGGGCCTGCCTTGCAAGCAAGCAGTCGTGAGTTGGATCCCTGGTACCATTAAAAACGAAAAAGACAAAAAAGAAAATGAAAAAAAAAAAAAAAGAAAAGAAAAAGAAAAAAGACAAGACAAGAAAGAAGAGAAAAGAAAAGAATAAAATGGCCGGACATGTAGTGCAAAGACCCTGGGTTCAATCCCCAGGAGTACCATAAAATAAAATAAAATGAAATAAAACAGTAAAATAAAGCCACCCCACTCCCCTTCCACCCAGCCCTGGGACAAGTGTGTGGAATGTCTCTGAGGTTGCCCATGGCCCTGACCCCTCTGGGCCCATCCTTGTGGAGGGGGTGGGACGTCACCAATGCAGTTCATGTTCCGGAGCCCGCTGAACACGCCCTTAGGCACTTTTCGGATCCGGTTATCGTGGATGCGCAGCTCCACCAGGGAGCTGGGAAGGTTGGGCGGAATCTCTACCAGGTGGTTCTTGGAGATGTACAGCTTCTGCAGTTTCCGCAGCGGGCTGAAGGCCTTCTCGTGGATCTTGGAGATCTTGTTGTTCACCAGGACGAGGGCCTGCGGACCCCGGGTAATTGAGGGAGGTCCCAGCTCCCTGGTCCTCTTCTTCTACCTCCCCTGCCCCTGCCCTGCCCCTCACACTCAGCTGAGCTTGCAGCAGAGCACAGGACAGTGAGCACAGCAAGGCCACCACTGCCCAGCTGCTGTCCCTGGCCTCAATTTTCCCCTGGCACATTGGCTCCAATGAATCTGTTCTTTCCATGTTGCTGGGACCAACTGGTATAAAAAGTGTTCTGTTAAGAAGGTGTCCAAGCTTAGTGAGCTTTTTGGTCTTTGTGACAGGATCTGATTACATAGTTCAGGCTGGCCTTGAACTCACTGTGTAGTCCGGACTGGCCTTGAATTTGAAGCAATCCTCCTGTTTCAGCCTCCCTAGTGCTGGGATGACAGGCATGCACCAACCACCATGCCCTGCTTTCTGACCTGAATGATCTTGGCTTGCGCCCACACACAGAACCCACAGCATTGGGAGCTCCAGCCACCTGCCAGGTCCTGACTTGTTTCAAGCCTCAGCAGTGTCTGGGCCCCTCTTACTTCCCACATGGACCCCCAACTCTCCCCTGCTCCTCAAAGCAGAAGGCAGCAGTGGTCTTACATAGAGGTGTTGGAGGCCTTTGAAGTCATCTTTGCGGAGCTCAGAGATGTCATTGTTCTGCAGGTCAAGCAGCGTGGTGTCTGGGGAAATTTCCTTGGGCACATTCTTCAGTCCTGGGGGTCCAAGCCATCACCCACGGGCACATCAGCCACCAGCCAGCCGGCACGCGCACCAACACAGTGACTCTGTCACAAACCCTCTGTGACCTTCTCCCTTGCTTGCAGCCACCCTGCCCTCCCTCATGCACCCCAGCTGTCTAGGGACTGACCTAGGTCCGAGCACTGGACAACCCGCAGGTGACAGTGGCAGCCAAAAGGACACATGGCACTGAAGGTGGGTGTCACGGAGTCTATGTCTGGGGCGCCAGAAGTGCTGTCGACGCCCGAAGCCTCCTCGTCATTCATGAACAGCCCGTCGTCCAGGGCGAAGTCCCAGAAGCCCTTTTGTTCAAAGGGCAGGGCCTGGCCCAGGGCCAGCAGGGCTGCCAGGAGCCACAGGGGCTGCATGGTACACCAACCTGGGGACCAGGGCAAGAAGGAGCCGTCATCAGCCCTCTGGAGCCCACCTCCCACTCTGCATCCCCAGCGCTTTCCAGGGACAGCCGAGCCAGGTGGGAGGTGGCCTTGGGAGGGCCATGGGCATGCGCCGGCTGATAGGGCATCTCTTTCCACATCTCCTGTCCCCGGCGGGACTTGATTTGTTTTATCAGGTCACAGAGCCTGCTCTGGAGAGGGGGTCGTCAAGGCCTGGAAGAGGCAGTGGAGGGGGGACCAAGCCATCGGCCCCACGGGCCACCCAGACCATGCCCTTCCCAGAGTCTGAGGCTCAGGGCAGTTGGGATACCATTAGCTCAGCTGGGCAACCATGAGTCATTTCCTTCCCTGCCAGAGCCCTCTCTCTCCACCATGCCCACATTTCTCCAAGAGGCCAAGGCACCGGAGCAGGCTGGAGCGAGAGGGACATCCCCTGAGGCCACAGCAGCTGTCAGCAGAGGTCCCTTCTCTCTGCGGTGGGGACCTTGGCCTCCCCGGCTGCCCCTGACCTTCCTGTCTGCCCACGCCCAACATCCTGCAGAGGCCCTAAGTGGGCAAGGTCAGGCTTGCCTGAGACCCCCAGGCTGAGGCAGCGGGGTGCGCATGGAGAGATGCTGCCCGGCCCAAGCATGCCCCAGCAGCCCTCGTCTGCCCACCTCTTCCTCTCCTGTCAGGTGCTGCCCCCCTCCCAGGGCTGCTCTGCACCTCATCCTACCAAAAAAGTCCTAACTTCCTGGCCAAAGCCCTGCCGTGTCCCAGCCTCATGCCCTTATCCGTTAAATGGACAGGTCCACCCTGCTGGCCACCTACACCAGGGTATCTGTGACTGCCTGGGGCAGCTGGATGCCAGGGGCCTCCCGTACACTGGAGCCACCTCATCCCTGTGTCCCTCTCGAATGGGGAACTGGACAGAGTGCGGGTTCTGGAGTGGGGTGTGTGAGGGGGGGTCACAGGATACCCCCTTGCTCCTTGGGGCCCGAAGATGCCCCGAACACATATCTGGGCCTTGCCAGGCTGGCCAGGGGAGCTGGGGACCCTCCTTGATCACCTACTACCTAAATAGTGTCCCATTCTTCCCCTCAGTTCGCAGGCTCTGAGGAAAGGCAGGGCAGGGTGGGCAAGGGGCCAGGACCTGGATGCCAGGGCTGGGGAGGAGCCAGGTAGTGAGAGGGAGGAAGAAGAAGCGGACAGGACAGCTAGAGGCAGGAGGGTTAGAGAACAGGGGGAGAGGGAGGAGCCACTCAGAGGGCATGAGTCAGGTTGGCACCCACGTCCACCTGGGCGGGTGAGGTCTAGGGACAGAGGACTGTTGGCCTGCCAGCAGCCCAGGGTCCTGGAGGTCTCCAGAGGGTGCCTACACCCCCACCAGAGGGGAGGATATACAGGCGCCTGGGGACCAACCTTGGAGTCAGGGACCCTTGAGAGCTGTGCTTGACGTCACAGCGAGGGGTGTCTCAGAGAGGGGTGCAGAGAGGAGCCCTGCCCTTTGCCCTCAGTCTCAGCTGAGGGTTCCCTGAAGGGCGGCAGGCGATGGCACGGGACAGGGCTTGGTGGGCTTTCCGTGGCCAGGAGCTGAAGGGTGGGGGCCAGGTGGGCTTCCCACACAGTCCTCCTTTCCCTCAGAGAACTGGCACTATATCTGGTGCCTAGAAGACCACGAAGGAGGGTGCAGGCCATATGTGCAGGGGCCCCACAGAGCTGAGAGCTCTGGAAAACTTAGGAACTCCACTTGAAGGCTGAGACAAACAAGGCCTAGAAAGAGGAACATACTGCTACCAAACTCCAGCTCACTGGGCCTGGGACTTGTGCCCATGCCTCTGACTGAGTAGGTGTGTCGTGTCGTGGGCAGCCGCAGCCGGTGGGGGGCCTGATGTCCCGGAGTCCTGCAGTCACACTGCAGACCTTGATGCAGGGGCCCTCATGGAGACACGGACACCTCCAGCAAGTACCCCCCACCCTCCCACCCCACCAGGGCCTCCAGAGGCCTCAGTTTCCCCTCAGTGGCCTCCCTGGGTGTGTCCTGAAGCCCCATCAAAGTGCCCCCTGAGCTGTCTGGGCATCACCTCCTCAGAGCAAAGGAAAGAAGCAGTCACGCAGTGAGGCTGGTGCAGGGACCGCAGGTGTGAGTGGGTGGGAAGGCCCGTCTTCTGGGTGCTGCCGCGCCGCTCCAATAGCGCCCTCCTTGTCTCCCCTCTGAAAGCCGGCGCAGTGCTGGGCGCTGGATTGCTCCAGGTCACAGCCAAACAAGACGCGCTGGCAGCCTCCGAGAACATGGAGGGGCTGTGCCAGGCATTCAGGCCAGGCCAAGGGCGGCGGGCGCAGGGCTTGAGGTCTGGCTGGCCCGGGAATGCGCCTGCAGATGTGTGGCTGGTGGCTGCCAAGGAGCTGACGCCGGGCACAGTCTCTGCGGCCTGGGCCCCAAGCCGTCTGGCCCCACTGGGCAGCCTGACCTGAACCCTGACTTGCAGGCCACGGCTCACGGGTCCCCCAAAGGCCGAGTGAGTGTTTGCATGGTGAGCGTGCTTGCGTGCATAGACAGGAATGGGGCCTGGAGCCCCACCCCACCTGACCCAGGCCATACTCTGAGCCTATGGCCTTTGCAATGCAGAGCACATGCCCAAGTACAGGGACCCTGCCCTGCAGGGCACTTGAGACACAGGCTGGACCCAGACATAGGCACCAGAGGCCACCCAGGAGGTGTCAAGATGGCTGGGCGCCTTTTCTCCCCTGCCCCACTCTTCTAAGAAATCTCTGGAAAGCAGCCGGGCTGAGCTGTCCTTCCTGGATGGAGAAACCTGGCCTCCTGCTTGCCATGCACTACAGCCTATGAGGAGGTGGAGGACGCTGTCACCTTCCCAGGATGCAGGGGAAGACTCGAGTGGTTTCTTTATCCAGCTGCCCTTCTCCTCCGCTGTCCTTTCTAACACTTGGTGACAGAGTGAACCGACACTCAGAGCGTTTTCCCGAAACTCCTGGCCAAGGCAACACGGTCATGCCTTGGTTCTCAATTGCTTTGGAACTCGCCGGATTGGGTACTCGGTGCCTTCCGACGTGAAAGGTGTGTCCCGGTACACGTCATTTGTGTGGTACTAAGTGTGCAAGCTAGCCCTTGTCAGTGTCAACTGTCTGGGGACTCACTTTCTCTCCAGCAGAAACGGCATGTTTGGGCCCCATGGTTTTAGGACTCATCAAGCCTCCCAGAACCAACTGATGACAAGCACCTAGGTGCCATGGTGGTCGAGCTGGGACCCTACTGCATCTGTCTGTCTCCCTGTGTTCCCATGTCTCTGTGTCCCTGACACACTGAGCAGCCAACCCTCTGAAGGCTGCGGGGAGGCAGGGCGCAGGTCCCTCCTCAGGAGCCCTGCCAGCCCCTGAGAGGAATCAAGGCTGAGCAGGAATTCACACTTCTGGGGGGGGCAGACAAAAGAAGTGGCCCCAGGGTCGGCCCTCTGCCTCCCCCTCCAGCCTGTGGCAACCCAAGCCCCGGCTGCCCAGAGACCAGCCAGGACCGGATCACTAGCTGCTCCAGAAGAAAAGTGGCAGTGACTTTCAGCTGGGCCCCAGCGCCGCTGCCGCCGGCCCGCTGGGGTCCAGGATGTGGACCAGGAAGGGCTGGGTCCCCACCCCAGAGGACGAGCCATCACAGGGAGGGGCAGTGCCCTGGCCCTGGCTGTGCAGTTCCAAAGGTTCTCTGTGGCCACCCAGAGGCTGGCTGGAGCCACAGTGGTGCAGGCCAGTGTGGGTGCTGAGGCAGCACCTGAAGTCTCAGAGGTACCCAAGAATTCCCCCTGGCGGGGTGGGGCAAAGTGGGCTCCCAGTAGCGAAAAGGAATCAAAGGCCTGGAGGGGGAGGGGAGAAAAAGCCTCACCCCTACTTCCCACTTCCCCACATACTCTGCGCCGTCCCCCAAGGAACCAGGGAAGCTGGCACTTTCTGGAAAGCTAGAGAAGGGCAGAGCTGAGTGACACCACCACTCCCCACCCCAGATCAGCGCAGCCCCTCAGGATCATCCCGACTGGTCTCGGTGAGATTTGCAGAGCCTGCGTGGTGGCACACCCCTGTCATCCTAGCACTCTGGAGGCTGAGGCAGGAGCGCCCCAAGTTCCAGGACAGCCTGGTCAACGTGGCCAAACCCTGACTCAAAACAGGAAAAACTAACAAAGGCCTGGGAAGGTAGCTCAGCTCAGGAAGGCCCTGGGTCCAAACCCCGTACTGGGGGAGGGTTTGCAGGGGGCTCAGTAAGTGGCCCAGGTGTGGTGTGGGCCCGACTGTCCCCAGCCTGGGATCTGAACACGAGAGGGCGGGACCAGTGGGCCGCTCCACCCAGGCCCCAGGGGAGCAGGGTAGGGACAGAGCCAGGGCCAGAAGGACCCTAGCCTGGCTGGCCTGCAGCCCTCCACTTAGGGCTGAGTGCCTGGGGAAAGCCCCTAGGTGCCTGGGGTGGGGTCGCCAGCCATGGTGGGTGGTGGGTGGATTGGTCAGGCGAGTTGGAGGGGACTGCTGACGGCGGGTGGAGCCCCAGCAGGCGGGAACATCAGAGGTCCCTGAGGCTGGAGATCTTGGGAGATAGGACAGACTTGTGCTGCACAGTCTGTTTGGGAACAGTCTCTTTGGGGTGGGAACTCAGGAAGCAGGGCGGTATCCTCCAGCCCTTATGCAAGACCCCAAGGAATCAGAAGTCCCTTCCAAAGGTGCCAGATGCGAACTGTCAAGTGTGGCCGCATCACTGAAAGGGACACTCTACGGCCTTGAGTGACTACAGAATGTTGCTAAAGGAGGCTGTCCTCTTGTCTTGAAAATGTCCCAGAAAATATTCCTTGGGAGGGGCTGGGGAGAGGTTTCCCAGAAAGACGTCCTGCTTGGGTGAGCGGGCAGAGGCTGGCTGCCTCTCTGGGCTGAGTGCAGAAGCTGTGGGGGAGTTGATGCCCACTGCAGTTCTGGCCCTTGGGACTGGAAGGTGGGCCAGTGATGCCAGGCTGCCACGCCCAGTTGGTCACTGGCATTGGGAGGCTCACTGGCCCCAGCCCAGAGCCTGCCCAGCAGCTCTTCCAGAGTGTGGTGATACAGGTGGCTGGTGTCACCAGGAGGTGCTTGCCTGCTTGGATGCAGGTTCCCCTGGGAACTTTCTGGGCCCTTGGGGTGCAACCTTAGCTCCTCTCCATCCAATCATTCTTTACAGGGCAGAGGGCTGGTAAGCCATGGGAGGGTGAGGCAGAGAGGAGCCCCTGAGGGCAAGACCTCTGCATGTTAGAGAACAGTATCCCTAGCCTGAGACATTTGTCCCCACCTGTGACCTTGCCCTACAGGGCCCTAAGCTTTTTGCTTTGGCGGAATGGCCCTGGTCCTGCCTGGGACAGCGAGGGGTGGCTCCTTTCTCCAACCTTCTGGGGCACTTGGTGAACATCCAGATGGCTTTGGACTCTCTTGCTCCCTTCCCTGAGGGGCCCATGCCAGGTCTGTCCCCCAGACCTGATTTCCACCATGACCCTGTCCATTCTGAGTATTGATCTAAGAGGGTTCAGGGGACACAAAGGGTGGTGGCACGCAGATAACCTCACCCAGGGACCCTGCAGCTGGGGCTTTGTGGACCCAAACCTTGCCTGGGAGGCTGTGGAGGCAGTCTGCCCAGATGAGAAAGGACTGTCCGGGCAGGGTGTGTGGAGAGTGTCTGGGAAACTGAGTCTGCCCATGCCGAGACTAGCCTAGGCAGCAGGGGACAGCCGGCACTGAACTTGCAGGCACCTAAGGCCCCTAGCGCCACCACAAAGCCCCAGAGTGAGACTGGCCAGACAGTGTGGTTGGCCATCGTGTGCCAGGGCCCTAGGTAGAACCAGGGTGCCAGCCGCCCACACATGCAGGGGCGGCAGCCACCCCCACACTGCTCCAGAGTCAGGGAGAGCAGAGAGGACAGAGCTGAGCAGCTGAGGTCAGAGGAGACAGGGAAGTGGGGTGGGGGGAAGATCCCTGGAAGGGCATGGCAGTGTTGAGGGGATGCAGGAACGGGCAAGGACCAAGGGGGCCACCGGGTGGCGATGAAGGGGCACAGACCAGGAGCCTACAGTGGGTGCCCTGGGAATGTGCACGAGTCCGAGGGGTGGGAGAGGGCAGAGAGGGGCAGCCTAGCTGCTGCGGACAGCAGGACTCCAGGCTGGGACAGCAGGGACAGCAGGGCTGGTGGGGACAGCACATCTCGGGCATCTCTGGGCTTGTGAGGGGATGGGGGAGCCAGGGGTGAGGAGACAGCAGCGAGAGCAGCAGCAGGCCAGGGCGGGACGGCAGGACAGTTAGAGCTGGCGCTGGGCCCTACCTGGGGGGAAGCAGCCAGGTGCGGGCTGGCCAGTTGGGCTTGGGGCTGTCCGTGTGTCTGCTGTGTCTGTCCGTCGGGAAGGGCCGGCCGAGAGCAGCTGCTGGCTCCTGGGCAGTTGGAAGAGAGAGGGAGAAGAGGCGGTGGGAGGGAGGCTAAAGGCTGGGCGGGCAGGCTGACGTTGGGAGGGGAAGAGGAGGAGGAGGCAGGGAGGGAGGCCAGAGGAAGGAGGGGGCTGGCGGAGGCAGGGAGCGGGAGGGGAGGGCGGGCAGGCCGAGGGGGCAGGCTTCCCGCCCCCTGGCAGCCTCAAAGGGAGCAATTTTCTTGGAGGAGGCTGGGTTGGCTGCACCCCTCCCCCCGCCCCCCAGGACAACTGCTCACACAAGGACCCCCGCCCCGCAGGGAGTCCAACTTTCCACTGCTCATGTGGGGACACTGAGGCGCTTACTGGCACCCTGCTGGGAGGAGGAAAGTGAGAGGGCAGAAAATGGAAGGGGGACAAGGGGAAGGTGGCCTCTGGGTTCTGTTCTGAGCCCGCCCAAGCCTCCTGAGGCCTGGGCTGCCAGGCCCTGTGGGTTTCTGGAAACGTCCTGCACCCCGCTCACCCCAGTCTTTGCCTCCACCCAGTCCCATAGACAAAGGCCATGTAGACAGAGGCTATGGTTGCTGGGGGAGCCCGCATGGGGCAGGCAGGAGCACGCCACAGGTCCTGGGCTCCCAGCTATGAGAAGCGGAGGGGCTGGAAGCTGCTGGGGGAAAAGAGAGTCACCCTCCTTAACTGTCCCTGCAGGCCTCTAGGCCATGATGACCCCCAAGGGGATACTTCCTCTGCTCAGTCTCAGGGGCTCACTGGTGCCTGCCAAGCCCTGGCCGCTTCCTGGGGGCCGTGGTGAGCCCAGCTTGGCCTTCGTCCGTCCTCCTAACTACTAGAGCCACATTGCCTGCCTGTGTCCATCCCTCCCCTGCCACTGGGCTTTACAGAAAAAGGATGCTGGACCGGAGGCTCTGAGACCTGAAAAAGAAGTGGGGACAGAGAGACAAGGTCAAACCCATCTAGGCCAAGGTGGCAGGGGCAGAGGTGGTGGGGAGGCCAGGGATAGCCAGCATGGGGGACAGGAGGGGCAGGGCGGGGGCTGAGGGTCTCTACCCACTAGAGCGGGCTCAGTTGTGGGGTGGGGCCTGGGAGCTCCCACCCTGGGGCAGTCCCTCCCACAAGGGTCTCACCAGGGCCAGGCAGGTTCGGAGGGGGAGAGCTGCCTGCCTCCAGGGGCAGCAGCTGGCTCGGCTGGCGGCTATTCCCCGCCCCCTCCCCGCACTACATTTTCATTTCATTTTTGCCACGTGGGGCTTGGGCCCAGGGCTACGCCCCAGCCCCTCAAGGGTTTTAGTCTTTAAGGTAGACAGACTTAAGCAGATGGGCCTGTTCCTATGTACCAGACCAGACATGAATATACCGCACAAAAACCAATGACGTGAACGATTCTCTGAGGCAGGGTCTCACTATGCAGTCCAGGCTGAACTTGGACTGTGTAGCCCAGGGTGGCCTCAAACTCAAGGCAATACTGCATCAGCTTCCTGAGTGTTGGGATCACAGGCATGTCCCCCGCCCCCACCTAACTGGACATTTTAAATGGGTGAGTTGTGTATTTTTTAAAAAAACAGAAAAGGCTCACATAAAACACGCCTACTGCCCAACACGCTCGTGCCTGAGTGCCTTACTGAACAGGCATGCTCCTTAGGGTCCACTGAGGTGGCACGAGGTGACACCCTGCATGGGGGCCAGAGCTCCTCATTGAAGTTGGGGTACACATCTGGAGCAGTGCTTCCATAAATATGGTTTTTGTGCCTGGAAGGCCCTCGTGCCTGTGGTTTGCAGTCTACAATAAGCTGTAACTGTACGCCCGCCCCAGGGCCCACTGAGTCACTCAGCCTGGCCCTCTAATTTGGCCCTCCCAGAGCAGCCTGGCAGCACCTCGGCCCCTCACCCCACCTGCCCCATTCCTTCCACCACCCTGGTCCTCAACTCTTTTTGCAGTATAGGAACGACCAGGTTCCCTGCTGAAGGGACCCAGGGAACAGTGTGTCCCATTTCTGTGGCAGCTACTGGCGCTCTTGCCCTCTGGCCTCTCAGGGCTGGGAGGAGGCGGGGTGGGGGGCAGGCAGGGTGAGGGAGGCAGGAAGGAAGAGCAGGCATTTCCTGAGGCCCCCAGGCTGCCGAGGAGGAGGCAAGGCACAGCTGTCTTCAAGGGGTGGTGGAGGAGGGGGCAGAGCCCAGCCTTCTTCAGCACGGCCAGCCCACGTGCGACTCGGAGACACCCCGACAGGCCCCGAAGTCCTGGCTTGGACACTCTGCCATGACTGGCCTGCCCCACCTTGCCCAGGTCTCTGCCTGGGAAGCCCCTTCTACTGCATGGTGGCACCAAGGACTCAGCCTGCGCAGGGGCAGGGGTCCTCCTCAGACCTGCGCTGGCAGACCTGAGTAGCTGGCTTGGGCTTCTGGGGAAAGCTGTCCAGCCGTGGGCACCTGTCCTGCCTAGGCCTCAGGCTAGGCTGAGCCCAGAGCAGGTGTTGGGGGGCAGGGGCATGCATGAAGAGGGGCCTGGGGCCGAAACAGGGGTGGAGGGAGGGCCCAAGAGGAAGGGGCTGGGCACAGAGGAGCTCAGCCAGCTGCCACCCTGTTGGCTTCTGTGTGGAGAAGGACCTGGCGCAGGCTGGAGCGTGTTCCCCACAGCTGGCTTGCAGCTGTTTGTACCCTAGCTTCAAAGAGGGGAGAGGCCCAGGAGAGAAGTGGGGCACATGTAGGACAATCTGGGAAGCCCCTGGTCCCTTTGAGTACTCAGTGCTGGCTTTTGGGAAGGTAGGGCTGGGGAACCTGGGAGGTGGCAGCTGCTTGTCCTGTGAATTTTGGGGGCCTGGAAAGAAAGACCACTCAGGCCTGGGCCGTGGGTCCTCTGCCAGCCTCCTGTCCTCTCTTTGTCCTGTTCCTAGCCCCCGTTTCCCTGGTGAGTGGCTGTTTATTCAGCCCTGGTATGACTGCTTCCCTTGGGTTTCGACAGCGTGGGAGCCACGGAGCCAGAGGGGAGGCCCAGAAACAGGAAGGGGTCACAGGGCCGAGATGGGCAGGCGGACACCCTGCTCCCACAGAGCCCAGCCTGCCTGAGGAAGCAGAGCCAGGACCAGGTGAAACCAGGGTGACCCACGGGCAGGCAGGGTCCGGAGGAGGGGCTGTGCTGGGCAAGGCATCTTTCCCTTGGGGTCATCTGCAAACCTCAGCCTCCAGGACAAACGCTCAGCCAGGGACACTTCTGAGTGCCCCTAAGGTTCCTCTTGCTTGGCTGGAACTCCTGCCCCGCCCACTGCCTGCATCCTCATCTTCTGCCCCCACCATTGGTGGCTGAGCAGGGCAGGTGAGCTCCAGACCCACAAACTCCAGAGGGCAGCCTGCCACCACTCTAGTGGCTGGGACACTCCCAGGGACTCTCTGGGTGCAGGGGGAGGGCCCAACATGCCTAACAGGTGGCCAAGGAGGTGCTGGTGAGCCAAGCCTCCACTGCATGGAAGCGTCCCAGCACCAGTAGCCCATGCGTGGCTGGCGAAAGCTGGCAGGCTTCGGGAGGGAGGTTTTTTTGACCTTCCCCCAGGACATAATCACACAGCATCTCTCCCCTCAGGCCAGCAGGGCTATAATTTCAGGGCTTGAGAGGGACTCCTGGGGGCCTAGCCTGTGTCCAGCTATCTTTAGAGGCCTGGAGTGGGTGTGGCTAGCACAGCTGGGGCAGAGGCTGAGTCCTCAGAGCCTGGGAGCCAGAGAGGGGCCTGGGGTACCCGGAATCTTGGCCCCTCCCTTGGACCAGGAGTGCTGCACAGTGCCCTGTCCTCAGCCTGTGGTCTGGGTACCTGGCACAGCCCAGCGTCTCCCAGGTCGTCCCCATGTGCCACCTTGGTGGCAGCGGCTATGAGAGCAGTGGTGGGGACCTGCTGTTGGAAGCTGGGGGAGCCCCGGAACCGGATGTGGGAAAGGCCAGGCAGGAAGGCTGATGGGCATGGGGCTCGGAGCAGGGGTCCAAGGTCCTTTTGAGGTCCCCGGCAGGAGACACAGGCCCAGTTTGAAGGAGTATAAGGCTCCCTGTCCCTTTCTCCCCTGTTGAATCTGTTAGCTTTCTGCACTGGTCCCCACTGTTCCAACCTTTAGTCTCACCCCATCACCTCAGCACCCCATCTTGGCTCCAGGCCCCTCATCCCCACCCTGGCTGCTCAGAGGCCCAACCCTTTGGGGTTATTTCCTGGGCATCCTCAGACGGAGGAACGCAGTGACCACCTGCTTCATGTGGCCCCGAGGGGCTTGTGGCCACCAGGAAGGCAGAAATCACATTTAATCTCCTGCTGGGATCCACCTGGGGATGACCTTGTAGTGCCTGTAGGCCAGGGTGCCTGGCTGCCGACCCTCCCTTCCACATTGTCACAGGTCCGCAGCCCCCAGCTTCTGGCTGCTGGGCCCCACTCCCTGTCCTGAGTTCCTGGATCTCTTTGGCAGTCACCTTACATTAAGGGGGCATCTTCGCTTCAGTGACACCCCTTTGCTAGTGATGACCTGGGGATATGCAGGCTGGCCCCTTGTCCCTGCTCTAGGGTGCACTGATGTGACTGTAGCCCTTCTCCTTTGACCAGGTAATGACCCCAAGATCCCCCTGTAAATCACCCCAATTCAAATCCCTGGCCTCAAGGAAGGCAAGTCACAGAAGGGCAACTCCTGCCCAAGGCTCTGCTATCCTGAGCTAGCCCAACTGGGCAGGGCAGGGTGGTCCTCCTGCCCACCTCTCCCCCTAGGGACCCTTCTTTTCTCCTGTCATGTCTGGGGCGCGCTGAACTCTGAGGAGCCCAAGAGGGCAGGGACTGGAGGGGGCAGGAGGCTATTGCCGGAGGGGCTGAAGTGGTCAAGCTGGGTTGGGGGGGTGAGGGGAGGCGGGGAGCACTGGGAAAACAGGGCTGCTGACCTATGACCCAGCCCAATAGGAAGTGCCATATATGTGGGCCAGGCCCCAGAAGAGAAGGAATGCAGGGATGAGTCCAAAGCAAACACTCCACCAGCTTCCCAGGCCTCCTACCCCCGCCCCTAGTCTGGCCCTTTCTTAGCTGAGGAGCAGGGGAGGGGGATGGGTTGTGGGACCAAGGCAGAACACAGTTCCCAGTTCAGCCCAGCCAGAGCTGTGGTACTGAGGTCTCTGCAAGGGGCATCTTCATACCCTTCCTCCTCACATACCCGCAAAGGCGGGCGCTGGTTCCTCTCCACCCATGTCCTGCCTGGCTGACCTTGCTTAGGGGTCAGTCAGCAACTCCGGTCAGGGGGCAGTCACTGCCTGGTCACCAGGCTGGAACTCCAGGGCCAGGCCTAGGTCTGCACACATCAAGGGCTCAGTCCCCAATAACTGGTTTGGTTTTGTTTTCAGTAGTGGAGATTGAATGCAGGGCCTTTGCACTGAGTTACATCACTGGGCCTCTTTTATGTTTTTGAGACAGGGTCTCACTAAGTGGTGCAGGTCAGCCTGAAACTTAGGATCCTCCTGTCTCTGCCTCCTAGACTGCTGGCATGTGCCACTACACCTGGCTAGCAACATTTCTTTAACCTGATCCCCAGCAGGTGAGCCCTTTGTCCCTGGGCAAGCCACCCAACCTCCTCATACCTTAGTCTCCCGTCTGTGAGCTGCTGGTGGGATGGAGTGGTGGTGGGTGTGCATGGAAGGATGGAAGAGGAAGAGACAAAGGTGTTCCCTCAAAGGTGCACAGCAGTCCCCATCTTCTGGTGGCTCTAAGATGGAGGGCAGGTGCCAGCCTGCACTGACAGGTGAGCCCATCTGTGCTCTCCAGCCCTGGATTGGACACTTCTTGGTGTGAGGCCTTGGATACAGATGGTGCCAGGAGCAACGGATGCCAGCTTCAAGGGGCTTACTGATCAAGGAGCATCTAGAATGTGGCCTTCGACCACAGGACAACGAAGAGCCGAGGCCTGCCGTGTACACCTGGGAAGGAGGGAAGCAGCACAACTCAAATGAGATGCATTTATTCTGTTAAATACAAACCAGTGCTCCCCTGCCCCTGCCCCTGCCCCTGCCCTCTGCTAGCTCAAAAGGGGCCTCCATTGGTCTGAACGAGGCGGACACTTCCATACAACAGGGGCTGCTAAATCCTTCTCCTGAAGTGGAGAGACCAAGTGCCCCTCCACTTGTGGGCAGGGGCTACAAGCCCTCCTCCCCTTGCTGGGGCTGGAGGACCATGCTGTGGCAGGCTCAGATGCAGGAGAAGGCTGCAGGCGGGATGTGGCACCGGTCCATGAGGTTGTTCTCCAGGTGTGTGGACATGAGGTTGGAGTCCTAGGCCTCACACGTGTCACACATGGAATTCAAAGGCACGTGTCTGTGATGGGGGTTACAAGGCAGAGCAGGGGAGAGAAGTGCCCAACAAGCAGGGGCAAGCACCCCACAAAGAGAGAGACAGAGACGACAGAGACAGAGACGGAGACTGACAGAGAGACAGAGAGAGAGAAAGACAGCGCTCCCAGGGTGAGCAAAGCGGTAAGATAGCGAACAGAAGCTCCCAGCACAGCCACGGACAGGGACACAGGGACGCAAACAGACTGGGGAGTGGGCGGACCATCGCCCCACTCCCGAGGCTGCCTCCTCAAGGCCTCTGGGAAGGTGGGGCCCTATCTGATCCTGTTGTGGTTCAGTGTAGCACCTGCAGGTCCTTGAGGCCCAGGAGGCCACGTGGGATGGCCTGCAGTTGGTTGTGGTCCAGCAGCAGCTCGGCCAGGGAGGTGTGTGGGCCCCGGAAGGACGAGGCATGGATGCCATTGGCGCGGAGCTTGTTGTGGGATGGGTGCAGGAGCTCCAGGCTGGGCTTCATGTGCGTGAGCACTTAGCCGGGGACACGCTGGATGAGGTTGTGGTGCAGCACCAGCTGCTGCAGGCCCCGAGGCAGGGAGGAGGGCACGTGGGCCAGTTGATTGTGGGACAGGTCGAGGGTCTCCAGCTTCCTGTGGGGTGTGGACACAGGTGCCAAGGGAGTGCTCTAGGGCCCACACCCTGAATCTGGGCACCCAGGGCCACACCCCTGACAGCAGCTGCCATGGCTCCCAAGTCAGGCCAGACCCTTCACAGCTTCTGTGGCCCGCTCTGTGCCCTGCAGCCTGGGAAGGAGGGATCTGGCCTGGGCCTTCCTTGCACCCTGCAGAGCTGGTACTGCCAGCCCTGGGGTGGAGTTGGGGAAGAGAACCCTGTCCCAGGATTTCCTGTGCCCTTGAGCTTGACACCTGTCAGACATATGCATAAAGTCCGTCCTGTGTGAGCCCTCTCCTGTGTCCCTTCCGCTCTCCTCTTGTCCTCTCCCTGCTTAGCTAGTTAGTCTCCAATCCGCCATGAGTTACAGGGCAGGGAGGGACACATGCAGTTCCCAGGGGGATCCCGTATCCCTGGGTGTCACATAGTGCACGGGGATACCTGGAGGTTGATGGTGACTTAAGTTGCCACCTTCTGTGGGGCCACTGTGAGCCCCTGGTCATTCCATGTAGATCGCTGAAGCCCTGACCCCAGCAGCAAGAAAGCCCCAGTCCCTGCAGGTCTCCAAGGACAGAATGGGTCAGAGCCAGGAAAATGACTCCTTTCAGTGACAGTGACATCCCCCAACCCTTTGGGCAGAGGAAAGTCTTCGGCAGCACAGGACAGGGCTTGACTGACAGCCAGGCCCCACAGCAGTGGGCAGCCCTCCCAGCTGCCATCAGCTCTCCTTTGCCCCCTTGGCAAGAGGGGGAGAGGAAAAAGGAGCAATCAGACCCAAGTGTCCCGCTCAACTTTTCCTGGAATATGGGTGGGAGGCTCCTGTCCCAGGAAGCCGGATGAGGCTATCTACGACCCCTGCTTCCAGCCTGCCCCGATCCCCACTCCATGCCCACCCTGTTTGGGTGGTCTCTGGATTTCACTAGTCCTCTCCCCACTCCCCACTTCTTCCAGGACTCTGGCCACTGTGGCAGCACCCCCACTCAACTGTCCAGATCCAGGGAGTCATCCTGGACTCTTCTTGGAGTGGGGTTAATGGTGGCTGCTCAAAGATATGTCTGCATAGGCCCTGGGAATGTGACCTTATTTGACAAAATGACCTTTGCAGATGTAGCGAAGGTTGGATGCGGATATGAGCTCATTCTGGGTTACCTGGGTGGGCCCTAAAACCAATAACAAGTGTCCTTTTAGGAGCCAGAGGAGCCCGAGAGACATGAACAGGGCAGAGGCTGTGTGGTGACAGAGGCAGAGATGAGAGTGAATGAAAATTTGGGGGCTACCAGAAGCTGAAGAGCGAGGGAGCATGGCCCCTTCAACACTGAGATTCCAGATTTCTGGCTCCCAAACTGGAACAGAATCCGTACCTTTGCCCTGCCTCCTCCCTCTGTGTCCCTCTCCACAGCACATGGCTTCCTGGGTGGGAGGGACATAGGGAAGAAGACCTCGGGAGTCGGCACAGTGTGGAGGGGCAGGAAGGGACTGGGGCCCCTGTGAGACTAGGCCCAAGCAGACAGGTCCTCTCAGGAGCTCACAGCTGCATACCATCTCCTTGGCCTCCATGTGCCCGTTAGGGTGGTGTCCCATGCCAGGGCACTCATGGCAGGTCGATCCAAGCCCGGGGTGCCAGACAGTCCTCCTGGAGCCAGTTGTTGCTGAGAACCAGCACACTGAGGTGGTAGCAGCCACTCAGTGTGTGCTCAGTCACCTCCTCAATGAGGTTGGTGCCCAGGTACAGCTCCTACAGTGGGGCAGGGGCCAGCGTGAGGGCCTGGCAGCCTGGTCAGGCTGTGGCTATCTGGCCCCTGCTGCCTCAGATGCTCTCAAGGGACACACCAGAGAACACCACCAACGGGAGTGGCCTTCACAGGGGCCTATGTGGCTTCAGAAGGGTGCCTCCAGCTGAGGAGAGGCCTGCTGGCTTTCAGCCTTGTGAGCTACACTGGAAAAACTCCCCAGCTGGCTGCTCTGTGCACTGCTCATTTGACTGTAATGACACCATTTCCTGTTATGGCACTGTCTAGATGTCCCCCCAAAGCCTCATGTGCTCATAGGTGGGGCTTTTTCGCAGGTGGCTGAGTCTAGGGTATATGTTGCTGGGATTGATTCATGGTGCAATGCTAGGATTAAGGGCGCTAGGGTTAAGGGTGTGAGTGCTGCCTGGATAAGAAATCAGGGACAGAAAGTGTCTTCTTGTTGCTGGTGGCTTGCTTGCTTTTGCTGACTTCTGTCTGCCCTGGTTTGCCATGAGTTATTTTTCCTTTGTGATTTTTCCTTCCCATGGCTCTGCCATGCCACCCTGCCTTGGAGTCAGCCAACTGTGGTCTGAAACCTCTACAAACTTTGAGATAAATAAACTTTCCTTCTTTAACTTCGGTTGTTGGGTATTATGCCTCGGCAATGAGAACAATAACTGAGAGATCTCCCCATCCTGGGGCCTCTCGGCTCACCTGCAGGGAGGCTGGCAAGCCAGAAGGGATGGCCCGCAGTTGGTTACGGTTGAGCCTCAGGTAAAGCAGCCTTTGGAAAGGCTGGAAGGCCAGGGGGGAGACATTCCCATCATGCAGCTGGTTCCCTTCCACCTCCAGCGTCAACAGTTGACTGAGCCCTGCGGCATGGGTGGTGGGGCCTGGTGAGCCACCCATGGCACTTCCTGGTCTGTACCCCATGTCCACCTCCCTAGCTGCCCAGCCCCCAGCCTCAGGGCCAACCTACATCGTGCACCCTGGAAACTGCTTTGCTGTAGGCTCTGCAGGAGGTTGTCGCTGAGTTTGAGCTCCTGCAGCGAGGCAGGCAAGGCTGGCACCGTGGTCAGTGAGATCCCATCCAGGTTCCGATGTTTCAGCCTGGTCAGATTATATGGGCAGAAGAGTGGCTGGGGTCTGGGTGCTGCTGGTCAGGGACCAGGCCTTCCTGGGCATAGCCAAGAGACACCCGACTTGGTTGCATTTGTGGCTTGCTAATTCCCATTGGAACTAGGCCTATCTGGGGGTTGTCCTTTGCTCCTGCATGGCACCCAGGAGTCTGTGCTATTCCCCAAGTCCCAGCCACAGATCATGAACCCTAAATCACAGAAGCTCTCTGCACTGGGTGCTGTGCACAGCACCCCCCACCCCCAGGCCTGGCCCCCAGCAACTCCACCCTGCTGTCCAGTGGACACCCTGGGTCATCCAGGACTTTCAACCCCTTGAAGCCCAGCCTCGGGAGAGAAGGCAGAGAGGCCACAGTGTACCTTGAAGGCATGAGGGTGCAGGCCCCGGCTGTCCAGTTTGTTCTTGCTCAGATCCAGTCATTCCAGGTTGGGCAGCCCTAGGAAAATGTGTGCCGAGATTGTGGTGATTTCGTTCTCTGTGCACGCACGGGCAGCCACATTCCGTGCTCCCTTCCTCCCGCCCTCTGCCTTTCTGGACCTCTCACTGCCTTGAGGCCAGCTCTCTTGAGCATGTTGGATCAGGGCATCTCCTCACCACCAGCCTGGGTCCCAGCAGGTGGGCCATGCTCGGTGAGGTGGGCAGCCTCAGTGGCCGTCCAGCCATGCACCTTTCTCACCCCTGCTAGCGACTGGGTGCTGGAAGACAGGGGCCACCCACCTGGCAGGGAGAGTGTGGTCAGACCAGGGTCAGTCAGGGCAGGGACATGCTTCATCTTGACATTGCCACAGGCGACAGCTGCCTGGCCCAGGAGGCACGAGGCCTGCAGGGAGGGCATGGCCTGCTCTGCGGTGCCCAGGCCTGCAAGCCCAGGCCCATGCCCCCACCTGCTTCCCAGCCATTCCCGCCCACAGCCTCTGCTGCGCTCCTTCTGCTGGTGCTTGGCCCCTAGCCTGGATTGGTAGGAGGTCCCTGGAGGAAGAGAGAGGTGGCCCTGGCCTGGTCACAAGCAAAAAATGACTTCTGAGGGGCAGGGGCAAGCTAGGAAAGACATGACTTTGTGGGGAACCCTCTTGCCCCACATATGAGGGCCCTCAGCTTGTGTGCACTGAGAATGGTGTAGAACCTGAGTGACTGATGACACTGTGCCTGTCCTGGCCAGTCCTTACCTTTGGGGAGCCTTCTGGGCTTGAGGCCCCTTCCTTAGGTCTCCCCCTCTGTGCCCAGCCCCTGTGCGGGTGACTCCTTCCTCAGAGCCGGCCCTGGCTTGACAGGGCGCTCCGGCAGGGAGTGGAGGGCCGGCCAGGCGTTCTGGTGGGTCTCTTCTTGGAGGTAGGCTGTACCTGCAGCCAGTCCAGATGCCAGTCATCTGGCCTGTCCAGGCTGCTGGTGCTGGCGATGGGTTGTACCTGACCTGCAGAGGGAGCCAGTGTGGACCAAGATGTCCAGGACCCCTGTTTGGCAAAGGACCTGGTCTTCTTTCCCCAAGTCACCTTGCCTACCTCAAAAGAGAGGCAGCTCTTTTCTGCTGCTGGGTGGTATTGAAGTCCGTTGGGACCAGGTACGGGCTGACCTTGCCGGCTCAGGGGACCTTGGGTCCTACTTCCCTGTGATCTCCCGAGGGCCCCTGAACATGGGAGCAGGGCATTGCTCCAACATCTCCCAACCCCTGTGGTGAGCGGGGGCCTCGAATGTGCCTCCTGCTGACAGTTGCTGGGCAATGGAGGGGCACTGCTGCCTGGCACCATTTGCTTTTGGAGGTGGCCACCCCTATCTGCTGAATGGCCGAGTTGTTGGGATATCCACAAGGCTGGAAGTCACCTCGAGAGGCTGTCAGTGACATCAAAGGAGGGGTGATAACCTTAGAGGCCTCCCCTGTTTCTGGAGCTAGCATCGGTGGCCTGAACCCACCCAACTGCCACCACCTACTGGGCCCCTAGGCCTCGGCTGGAGCCACCAAACACAGCACCAGCCTATGAGACAAAGGCCACACCTGTAGTGCTCATCCAGCGGCCTGTGAACCCGGACCTGGAAGCCACCCCCAGTCCCTACCTTTCCCAGCCTCCTGGGATTTGTCCTGTCCTAGTAGGTTTTGCAGAGGCCAGATTGACTGCAGACTCAAGCCCGATCTGTTCTTGCAGGCCCTCTCCTGGTCTGCCGAACCAAGGCCTCCCAGATGCTGCATCCAGCCAGGGCTCTAATCCGAGGGCCCTGGGTCCTCCCAGCCTTCCTGGGTGGGCTCATCTCAGGTGGGCAGCCTCCAGGGGCTGGCTTTCTCCTGTTTGCCCTACCCTGGGAGCATGTGTTCGTAGGCGCCAGCTACTCACTGTCACTGGAGAGCCTGGGCAGCAGCCGCGAGGTAACCAAGCCAGTGGCAGTCGGCGGGGCTGTTGGCTTTCTCAGGGGCAGCCCTTGCTCTGCCAGGGTTCTCCAAGAGCAGCACCCCACCCAAAGAGCCAGGATGAGGAGCAGTGCACTTCTCATGGCCCCTGTGGGCAGGCCGGCAAAGGACACAGAAAACTGGGCGCGGCAAACTGGTGGCCGCGTTGGGTTGGGACACACAACAGTCCTGCACCCAAACTCCTGGCCCCGCCTGCTGCACTTGGAGCTGCCCTCCCCTAGAAAGACCACCTTCTGCCAACCAAACGCCTCCCCAGGCCTTGCCCCCAAGTCCCCTCCAGGCCTGTTCCCACCTGATGCTTGGCCGGCCCATGCTCGGCTCCTCTTGCAAGGCCTGCACTGATCCTCACTGGCCCAGGCCCAGGGGCCCCATGAATGCGGCTCTGTCTCTGTGCCCTGCAGGCCTGTGAGGCCCACCACAGAGCGGAACGCCCACTACAGGTCGCCAAGAGAGGGTCGGGTGCTCAGGCTACCCGGGCAGAACCTGTGAACCTGCCAACTGTGTGGGCTCCTGCCTCGGGCACCCGTGGGAAGCCTCCCAGCTCTGGGGGGAAAGAGAGCATGTGGGCAGGGCAAGCAGCAAACTCAGACTCCTGGCTTGCAAGCCCCCGGCACTGGTAGGCACTGATGTGCCTGGGCATGGGGCTGGCTCTGCCTATGGCTGGGTAGCTCCCATCCCTCCAGGCCGTTGCTCTGTCTTTTGTAAAATGGGGGCAGTCTGGGCATCCGGAGTCACCTGTCATTGAAACGTGTGTGCACTAGGCACTGCTTGGGTGAGGCCATCTCACGGGTGCCCCCTGCCAGCTTGGCTAAGGGTCCAGGCCCTGGACGTGACGATGGCAGACACTGCCCAAAGGTCCCTGTGCTCCCACACACCCTGAGTGGGCACAGGGCCCCTGTGGTGTGGGGTGGCAGGAGGCGGGGCCGGAGGGAGAAGACTGTAGATGGATTCAGGGCTTGCAGGCCAAGAAGTGGCTCACAAGCCCCCAAAACAGCCTTTTCAAAGGCACCATAGGCCCTGCTCTGGCAGCTGGCTTGGATAGCGACCAGGTTGTCCTGAGGCTCCAGCCCTAAAGCCAGCACTGAGAGCTGTGGGCTGCAGGGGTGGGACTGGCGTGGGGCACTGAGCTCCCCACACCGCTCCTGGGGCCAGCGCTGAGGAAGCTTTTCCTACAGCTCTGTCCAGTGTTGACTTATGTTTGGACACGATCTGAAAAATGAGTTAATTGTGGGCAAGGCTTGGGTGGAGGGGAGGGGGTGGCAGGGTGGGGCTCCCCAGCTCCTTCTCCATCTCTGAGGGGGGGAGCTGGGCCAAGTCAAGGTGGGGGGAACCCCACCAGGTACTGTCTTGCTGAATCCCTTGGATCTGGGGAGCAGCAGGGGTACTGTGCACAGGGAACGGTGGGGAGCACTGTCCCGGAGAGTCCCCGGTCACCCCAGACAGGGTCCACAGCCACCTCTCCGAGCCCTGCGTGTGCGGCTCTGGTTTATGACCTGAGTTTGGGACAGTGCCACACACAGACCGGAGACAGAGACCGTCTGGGGAATGAACAAATGCCTTGGAAGCCAGGGATGAGGCCACCGTCTGACTGTGCACCCTGCGGGTGACAGGGGATGGCGCAGCTCCGTTTTTCTGCTGTTGCTGTGTGGAGCTGGGGGAAGGGAGCCCTTAGGCACAAGGGACCTGAGATGCTCCACAGAGACAGCCCCAATCCTTCCACCCCAATTTACATAGGAGAGATGGGTGGAGCTCATCCAAGCCTCGGCGCCTCATACCTCCTGTCCAGGGGCCCCTGAGCAGGGGCTGGGACACTGCGTGGAGCGGGCCTGGAGGTGCCCAGATGGGAGTCAGCGCGCTGCCCTTCCCCCTGCCTGCCATGGATTCTGAAATCCTGGCCCCCTACCCATTTCCCCTGTTCTTGCCGCTCCCCCGGCGCTGACTAAACATCCTGCCATCTGGTTCCCATTAGCTGGGCTGGGGGTGGGGGGAAGCCTGCTCCCAGGTTTCTTTGGCATAGCCAGCCTAGAGGAGGGAGGGATCCCCGCTTCTGCCCACCTAGGCAGGAAGGGGCAAGCATGGGGGCTCTTGGTTCCCCGGTTCACCCAGCCCCATCCTGGCTGCCCCCTCTGGCGGCTGGGGGGCTCTGCTAGCTGCTGAGCTGGGTGGGCACCTGGGAGCGAGTGGTGCTCGTGTTGCCTGCTCTGTCCTGTCTCAGGGTGCCTGGCCATCTCGGGGACCTGGAGGAATCAAAGAGCCAGCCCATAGGAAGCTCAGCAGAACCTGGGATTCCCAGCGAATTTCGGCATTGTCCGCCTTCTCCCCTTCCTCAAAAGCTCCAGAGCGGGACTCTGAGAGCCAGGCAGGGCCCCGGGCCAGCACTGATCCTGAGCCGGTGTCTGCAGTGCAGGATGGGAGGGGTGCTGGGATTTTCCAGGAACCAGGATGAGGCCTGGGGCTTGCTGGAAAGAGCTCTGTCATGGACTGGCTGGCCGTGTGATCTGTGAGCAAGGCTCCCTTCTCAATATGGTGCTCCTTAGAAAGTTCTAGAATCCTCAGAGGGGCAGCCAGAAGATGCTGCCCTTGATGATCAAGGTCGCATTTAGCTGCCCACTCCCTAGACTCTGAGGGTCCTTTGAGCTGCACAGTTGAGAGGTTCCCTCCTAACAAGGGAGAACTGGATTCTTGGTCCCTGCTAGTGACAACATAGGGACTCCATCAGCAAGAAAGGGGCTGGTCATGGTGGCTAGAGGGAAGGATGCTTTAGCAGAGGATCAGAGGGAGACCATGAGGAAGTGAGCCCGGCAGAGACATGAATAGAAAAGATGGTCATGCAAAAAGAGTTCCGTTGCCGTGCAAAAAGAGCTCTGGTGCAGAGCCCTCAAAAAGGAAGGCTAGCCCATGCAAAGGCCCTGAGGCAGGAAAGAACTTGGCCCAGTTTTAGCTGTACAATTCACTGTATTATAAAAGGTTCTTTGGGCAGTAGGGTGGAACATAGAGTTATTGGGGGTATGAGGACAGAGGGAGGGAGCCAGTGTGGCAGTAGTGCGGCTGTCCAAGCAAGAGATGACAGTGGCTGTCCCAGGTGGAGGGGTGGAGTAAGGACTGCATGGGGAGCGTGCGCCAGCCTCAGGGTGACCCATCATCTTAGGAGCCAGGCTGCAAGAGTGGTTACTGGACTGCCTGGAAGGCAGTGCCATGAAAGTACGTAGGCTTAGGGCCAAGGCACGGCCAGGGAATCCTGTCGTCTGCCCAGGACCCAGAGCACTGCTTTGTACCCACTACAGGCCTACTACTCACCAGCCCTCCTGCCAGAGTCCCTAGTGGGACAGTTAGTGGGACAGTGGGACAGTGTTTCAGTAGCCTGAGACAACACCCTGGGGACTCCCCAAGGAGAGGAAGCAGGCCCATCCTCGAACCTCCCACATCGAAGGGAGTTTGTCACCCGGCGCTGGGCCACTGTGTGCCCATGTGGACAGATGGCTCAACCTACATGTGCGTGCAGTGAAGCTCCTGTCGGCAAAGGGGCGGGGGCTCTCTCCCCTTGGAGATTTGACAAGAAAATGGCCCAACTTTCCATGCCCCCGTCCTGTTGCCAGCAGCCCTTCCCTAGAGGAAATGCATCTTGTTCTAGTGCCATGGAGACCTCAGAGGATCTGGTCCCAATTACAGGGCTCTTCTGGCAGATGGTTTTGGGGTTCCAGGGACAGCAGCCCATTTGGGTCTGACTCAGCCTGGGGCTTTTGTGCCTGAGACCCAGTATGCAGAGCAGGAGGTAAAAAGAGGGAGAAGGAAGTCTCTGCAGGGACAGGAGGGCTAGGACGAGGTACAGGGGTGTCCTCGGGGGTGCCTGGAGCAGGTGACCTGCAGGAGCCACGCGGGCAGAGGCTCCCCGGGGCTGGGTGGAGGGGCAGGGTCAGTTGGCACGGGGACCCTTTCCCACCCTGCTTCCAGGCTGCAGTTCCCCTCGTCCCTGCCCAAACTGTGGACTCCACTTGACCTCCTTCGGATGGGCCACAGGCATCGGACAGAGCCAGCCAGGCACTGGGCTTCAGGCTGCCTGGGGGAGGGGGCTGATGGGCCGAGGGCAAGCTTGGACCCCCTCCCCAGTCCGGCAGCCTCCAAGCGGGCATGTTCCCATGCCAGAACTGGCGCCCGCCTCTCCAGCTTCAGACGCATGTGACTCAGCCCGGCAGCCTTGCCAAGCCGTCTAGACCCGAGCGTCTCCCTGCGGAGGGGCGATCCCGCCGCCGTTTCCTCCGCTGACGGCCAGGACGAGAGGAATGGGGCTGAGCGGCCCCGCCACCCACGCCATGCAGCGTGGCCTGCTGCGCTGCAGACAGGGAGTGCCCGCTCAGGTGGGGGTGGGGGGCCCTGCGCAGCACACCCAGAGCCCAGCACACCCTGCATTGGTAGAGTCCGAGGCAAGGGGACAAATGAAGACTTTAGTGGCTGTCTCTCCCTGCCTCCATGCCGGTTCCCACCCCCATGATACTGGTGCCAGGTCCCACCCAGGACACGTGCCATTGCACACAACCAGGCCCTGTCCACACCCGCCAATGCTGGCTAGGCCCCAGGCACCTCACTGGCCCTAGGTGAGCTACACAGTGTGCTCTTGCAGGGGCCTGTGGCCTGTGGCCTGTGGGGTGTGATAGTGGCATCCCCTTGGTTCTAGATGCCTCTCAGCTGCAAGGAGTGAGGGTAGGGCCCAACGGCAGGAGGAGACCCAAGGTGGGAGGCCCATGGGGTGCAAGGGTGACCCTGCCTAGGGCTTCCCTGGGGGGGTGGCCTTTGCCCCAACATAGGGACTTGAAATGACAGGAAGAGGCCTGTGGCAGTCTTCCCGCATCCTTGAGTACCAGGGACCTCAAAGGCGGACACCAGGCTTCAGTCAGCTCCTAGGCTGGTTGCCTTATCCATCTGGAGTTGGGACCGGGGGCCACCAGGCATCCCCAAGCCCGCATCCATGGTGAGCCCACGTCTTCGAGCCCTACAGTGGTAGCTGTGGAGTCCCCTGGCTTCACGGGACACCAGGAGTGCATGCTCGGCCTCAGGTAGGGAAATGACAGCCACACAGAGAAAGTCAGAGTGCTTCTTGTTCCAGGAACCCTTGGGTCTCAGATCCCATGTCAAAGTTTGGGGTCCCTATAGCCTCGAGGCTCTTTCCTGTCTTGTTTTGTTTACCTGCCCCCCTTTTCATGTTCTCCACTCTTCCCAGCTGCATGAAGAGGGAGACTTTGTGAGTAGGCCTCTGGCTGGCACAGGAGGCGTGTGCTGGCTGTGAGACCTGGGTGGATGGCTGGCCACCAGCTCAGGGGCAGCGGGGTCCAGGTAGGAGGGAAGAAGGAGAGGTAGGGGGAGGGGCAGAGGAGGGAAGAGAGGTGGGGAGAAGACAGTGCGGAAGGAGCAGGAGGAGGAGGAGGAGCAGGAAGAGGAAGAGGAGGAGGAGGAGGAGGAAGGGGCAACCCCCTACTATGCTTGGCTTGAAGAGAGGCTGAACTCCAGGCCAATCTCATGTCCACCCCTAAACCACTGACAAGATAAGCGTCTGCCACAGTCAGGATTCCCATGTGGATGTTCGCCACAGCCTGCTTAGGTCACAGGCAGGGCCATGGAAGATGATTGTATTATGGGGCCCAGGGCTGACTTGCTGTTCCGAGGTAAGGCCTGGTAGGAAGAGGCGGCCATCAAGGTGTGGCCTGGGAGAGTTTACCTCTGTTCCTAGTGCATCCTGGGCTCTCTGCTTCCTTGCTGCCGGGCCAGGGCCCTCTGCTGCGCCATGCTGCCTTGGAGCCAGCAGACGATAGACTGAAACGTGAGCCAAAATAACCTTCTCCTTCCTTAAACTGTGGGTGTCCGGTATTGTGTCTCATCAATGCAAAAGTGACTAAGATGCCACATACTTGAATTCTCCCCCTAAACTCTCAATCTCTCTCCATCTCCCCCCATATATATATTACACACACGCGCATGCACACACACAAACACGCTTTCTTCCACTTTCCTTTTTTTCAGAAGCCTGCATCTGCTGCTCCGTCACTACTGGGGAACTTTTGAGGTGAGGAGGGTGGGATGGAACAGGAACTCCTGGGGCTTCAGCCTCCGCCATCCAGGGGCTCACGCACATGGAGCAGAATGGATGCAGCAGGAGAGGGACCCCTCGGGCTTCGGCTTCCTCTATCAGTGTTGTCTACCCAGGAACTGCAGGCTAGGGTCTGCTGCATAAGGCAAGCTGGAGCGCTCCAAGACTTTCTCTTGTCCTGATGCCCTTTTGGTCCCACGACAGTCCCCTTGCTGTGAGGCAGGGCACCAACTCTGTGAGTGCAACTGCTCAGCCATGCATTTCTGAGCCCACCGCTCAGACGGAGGGGGCTCAGATGCCTCCACCACCCACCAGCCCATCTTTGACACTGTGGGGCTCGTGCCTGTCAATTGCTCTCATTTTCCAGCTCACTTGCCAAGCACTGACACGTGGCTAAGGCCCTGGTGGGACTCATAGCCAAGTTTCCCCCACGATCAGGAGAGTGGCTTGTGCTGCATGTGATGCCTGCTTCTGTCCAAGGCGCTGGTCTCCCTGTGCAACACCTCCTGCAAGTTGAGGAGTCCTCCAGTGCTCTTCCAGGCTCCTTCACAGTCTCTGGGCAGGAATGCCCCTTAGCGATGTGCTGCATCCCTCCTGCCCTGCAGACTCACCCTATCCACACACCCCTACCCACTTCGCTGGGCTTATACACCTCCCCATCTTGGGGGAGGCAGCCAGTTGGCATTTAGACAGTGCTTTCTGGGAGAAGTGCTTCCTTGTGTCGAGCTTGAGTCTATGTTTCCAGAAGCTTCTACCACTGGACCTCTTGGTTTCTCCTCCCTGAGAGGCCCATCATCTTCTGAGTGCCACCCCAGCCTCCAGACTTTCCAGCATAGGATGCCTGGGAGGTGCCAGAACTTGGGGTGTGCGGGCAGGGAGGCTGCAGCCTGCTGCTGGTCTTCAGCAGCTGCCTCTAAAAGCTGGGGCAGGCCAACAGCTCTTCTACACAAGGACATGGCCCCCACAACCTCTCTAGACAGTGTTTGCCCCTGGGCCCTGCCAGTTCCTCTGGGTCCCACTTCATGCCATAGACAGAGCTGCTGAGTTGGAGGAAAGAGTGCTTAGTGTACTAGCTCCTTGGAACTGGGTGGAGAAATGGGATTTTCTTCCAGAACACACAGGGGCTGGTTTCTTCTCCGTCCTCAGGAATAGAAGATGGGGCGGGGGGGGGGGGGAAGAGCCACACTGCCGTGGTTTTTTCCGTCAAATTCCCTAGTCCTAGGAAAGATCCACAAAAAAACCCACAAGAATTTGAATGTCTGAGCTGGAGCTGTGACTGAAATGAAATTTTCTACAAAGAAAGGAAGAAAAACAACAAGAGAAAGAGTAAAAACAAAACCCCAGCAGCCACCCAAAGCCCCTTCCAACCTCCCTCTCCCGGCAGGGCCCGCCGTGGCTACCCCATGAAGAGTAGAAAGGGACCTTCCTCTCGCCTCCCTCCAGCTCAGTCTTGTTGGCTCCATGATCTCAGAAGAGACCGAAATTCCAAATCCTTCGATGAGGAACCGGGCCCTGCCCCCTCTAGCTGTGCCTGCGTCAGGGCCCCCCAAGCCTAGCCGAGGTCCCTTCCTGTTCGCCCCAGACCCCTGCCAATACCCGCCTCCCAGAACCCAGTAGAGCCCTCTCCTGTCAACTGGACTAAACAGGCTGTTTGTAGCCTGCCTCCAGGAGGTGGTGGGCACTGCGGGGAGGAGGGACAGGGAATGACTCCCATTCGCTCCTTTCTGCCCTGTCTGATAACGGGCCCTGGGGTTGGGGGCGTTGGAGTTGTGGGGCGAGCAGGACCCAGCCACAGGGCCACCCGCGGCTGGGCTGGAGGAGGAAACGGGGACAGGGTCCTACGCTGTGCTGTTCACCTGCAAGCACCTCCCAGGTATCTCATAGGAACTGTCGCCTTGTCCCAGGGAGGTAGGTGCTCTCCCTGCCCCACGAGGGGAAGGCAAGGAAGCACAGAGAATTAGGTAGCTGGTCCGGAGTTACACAACTGAAATTCCCTCCAAGCACAGCTGATCGTGGGAAAGGGACAGCTCCTCGCCGGGAGGCGGGGCAGGGCAGGAGCGCCCCCTCCTGGAGCAGCGTTGCCTCTCACCAGCGCGGCCAGGAACAGTGACTGCAAAGCCAACCGCGCCGGCCGCTTTCCGCCTCGCGTCCGCTGCGGACGGCGGGGGGGCGCCCAGGCGCATGCGCACGCCGCCGGCCGAGCCGCTGTCCAATCGGAGGCACGGTGGGGAGTGTACCGGTTCCGCCCTCCGTGCGTCCGTTGAGGGGGGGGGAGGAAAGAGCGCGAAGCTGGCGTGTGATTGGCGGACGGGTGGCAAGTGCGACCAGGAGTGGGCGAGGCCCGGCTTCAAGCGCGAAAGATGGCCGAGGCGAGTGCTGTAGTGGCTCTTGGCTCACCCGGCGACTTCTGCGAAGACGCGGATGACAGCCCTGTGTTTAAGGCGGCCTTGGAGGTGTTCGGGAAGCTAAAGGTGCCGTGGGTTCAGGGGACCATCTGGAGGGTCGGGGAGCGGGCAGGGGCCTGTCGGAAACACAGGCTCACAGCAGAGACCGGCGACGCCACGCCGCCACTGTCGTGGGTCCCGGCCGCGCCCTCCTGCTCTGCAGCAGGCTGCATTCGCCATCTCTCCTCCCCCTGCCCCCGTCCCTCTGCCCCATTGTCCCCAAGCCCAGGGACTTCTTGCCCTTTTTCTCTTTTCGCTCCGTGGAGAGACTGGGTCTGATTCTCCTGTAGCCTCTGCTGCCATAGAGCCCAGAGGGTCTCCTGAAAGGCAGCGGGCAGCGGGCAGCAGGCTGCGGGGCCTGTAGGGCTGAGGATGAGGGCCTTCAGCTTGGCACAATAAAAGAATGGCTAGAAGGGTGCTGCAGCGGGCACCGTGTTCTAGCTGGCGGGAGATGTGTGCATGGGCAGGGAGTCCCAGGCACACGCTGGCAGAGTGGCATTGCCAGCCTGCAGTGACTGGCTTCTTAATTAAGCTTTGGACTTTGCTTTTCTTTGCTTAGGACCTAAACTGCCCCTTGCTGGAGGGTTTGTATGTCGCAGAACCAAACACGATCCATGAGCTGCTGTGTACACCCTCAAAGTACCGCTTGGAGATCCTGGAGTGGATGTACATACGGTAACTCCCGTGGGCATCCGCAGCGCCCCTCCCCCGCCCCCCCACCGAGAAAGCAGCTTCTCTGTGAGGGATGCTGGCTGTGGGGCTGTGCAGGGCTGGTCAGCCTGCCTCCTTGGCATGCTGGTCTGAGCCCCTGTAAGTTCTGCACTAGAACTGCACGTTTGGAGGTTCAGGGCTGATAGCGACCTGAGAAATGTTCCATTTCAGTGTTTCTCAGACAAAGGAGCTGAAGGGTCACCTGTAGCATGAGGTGCCTCATGGATCTTGTGGCAGAGGGTGACCCTTATGTGGTGGCAGTTGCCAGCACCTGTGCCATGACCCTCTTTTCCAGGGCTTCTGGTCAGGGTGGCAGGATATGTGTCCTGTCTGATGTCTGCTCTTTGGGAACAGCATGTCTCTGAACTGAACGTCCCCGAGAGCTGAAGGCTGCCAGGGACAGAGGGGCACCAGGGGCCAGTGCCTCAGGCCTGAGTGCTTCTGGAAACCACAGTGTTCTTTCCCCTGTGGGCAGCTGGCTAGCATTTTTTTTTTTTTTTTGCGGGGGAGGATAATTTTGTTTTCAGTATTCACATTTTTGAAGTATTTTCCCCTAATAATGAGATGAAAGATGAAATGAAATGCACGTGACATGAAATGACCCATTTGAAAGTGACCCTCGGTGACATTTAGCACCTGTATGGTAAGCCCCTCATAAGCCTTGCTGTTGCCTTGCAGGGTCTGTCCCTCCATGCAGGACAAATTCAGCGCACTGAAGGGGGCACCGGTGCAGGCAAAGATCCAAGGTAGGGTGGGTATGACATGGGGATGTTCAGGGCAGCCTTCTTGCCAAGCTGGGGTGTGCTTTCCATCAGCTGCTGCTTTCTCTTGGGTGGGGCACCCCCCTGTGCATGTGCCTAGATGCTTACAGAAATCGGCCTCTCCAGGTGCGAAAGTTGGAGGAGCACTCATGAGCATCAAGAGTGTGTGGGTGCGCTGTGGCTCCGTGGGTGGGAGCAACCATTCCTGCACACTGTCACTGTGGTCTGTCTCCCTGGTGCATGTGTGCATTGTCTGCCTATGGCATTCCTAGGAGTGCTCTGACTGCTCTCTGCAGGGCTCATCTTGTAACTTTGTTTTTCTTAAATCATTTCTTTGTAGAAACTGTCTCCAAACTGCTAATGAAAATTAGACAAAGGTCTCAGGCACAGTGGCTCACACCAGTAATCCTAGCTACTCAAGAGGCTGAGGCAGGAGGGTGGAAAGTTGGAGCCCAGCGTGGGCCACTTAGTGACTTAGTGTGCTTCCTTGTCTCAAAGTAAAAAATAAAAGCAGGGTTGGGGATGGAGCTCAGTACTAAGGTCCTGGATTCAATCTCCAGTGCTACAAACAGGCAAAGCAAAGTAAAGGAAAACAAAAGTCTCTTTAGGCCCTGCCAAGTGTGAATGGTGGTTTCCATCATGAGGTCCCTGGCACACCAGCAGAAGTCAGAGTTGAAGTTCCACATAGGCAGGAGCATGGTGGGCAACCTGTGGTTTTCCAGCAAGGAAACCGAGGCCTGGAGAAGGGGAAGTGACTGGAGTGCAGGTCACACAGCAAGAGGCAGCCCTGGTGCCGGGGCAGGACCCCCACCTGCCTCTGTGTGCACTGGCTTATCTGTGCCCAGCCTGGCCTCTTGGTACCCTGCATATGGTCAGGGCCGGGTGTATGGCCGGGCTTCTCCTCCATGGGGCAGTGTCTGCAGCAACAGCGTCTTTGTGTCTGACAGAGATGGTGAAACTAGGCCATGAGCTGATGCTGTGTGCGCCCGATGACCAGGAGCTGCTTAAGGTAGGAGAGGGGTCTCACGTGTCCCCCAGGGGCCGAGTATGCTTTCTGTTCTGGGCCAGAGTCTGGGGTGCTGGTGTGGGAATGGCAGGCTTTCAGCCTTGGTGCCTTTGAAGTCCCTGCCTGCCACCTGGGCAAGTGGTTTCTCTAGGTAGTCTTGGGGCATGGACAGCTAGGCATGTCCCACAGTGACGGACTCTGAGCATTCCTCGGGCAGACGCAGGGAGGCCAGTGGTGGAGGAGGCCCAGCTCTGGCTTTTGAAGACCAAAGGAGCAGAGAGTGTCCTGCCTCCCCTGGATGACCTCACCCTTGCCTGTACTACCATAGGTACTTGATGGACCCGTCATTGTCACACCTCCCCCTGGCAGTCTTAAATGCATTTTAGGATGCTCACTAGAAGTTGCACAGTGGCCAAGCCAGGTGTCCAAAGCTGAGCTCTGCAGCAGCGCTGTGCGTCACCTTTTGAGGGGTCATTGAACTGTTTTCCACAGTGGGTATGGGCCATTCTGCCATTAGATCCACCCAGTGAGGGCTTTTGTTCTTTCACATGACCTGAAATTTCAGAGCAGTTTTCGGTTCGGATGTGAGCCCAAAGTACAGAGACTTCCCCCAGACTTGCTGCCTCCCACCGGGCGCCTTCCTTGTTGTCAGAATTGACCCCAGGGCTGCACTTCTGTTACAGCTCAGGGGCCAGTTGACACATTCATTCACCTGCCTCTCCAGCCTGGCTGAAGTTGCTACCTGGTGGTTATTTTCTGTTTCTCTGTTGATACTTTTTCTGTTTTATCTTTTTTGTTTTGTGTTCATAGTTATTTATCCAAGTGTTTTTAGGAATGCTGTCCTGGAATCTTTGTCACATCAGTCCAGCATGTGTGTGATCTTGTCCTTGACATCTGTTGATGTCTCTTCCCCTGAAAATTGCATGCTTTGTGGTTTTCATGTGCCAAGTAATTAGGGATTGCTTCCTCGTCACTTTGGCCCGTTCTGACTCGGCCTTGCTGGTGGTGAAGTGTTCTCACGGCCACCGAGGCTGCCGAGGTTCCCCAGGGCTGATGCCAAGCTGTCACAGAGGAATCCTTGGGGCACCTTTGCAGACTCTTTTTTTCTCCTGCAGCTCTCTAACACTTTGTTTTGCGTACCAGCCCTACACCGCCTACTTCCATGGCCCCTCCTGCCCCCAGGTAGCGAGGAGACTCCCCTGCGTTGAAGCTGGTTTCCTGCCTTTTGCTCTCCTGGGGTGCTGTTGTGCTGTTTTACCACCACTCCCCTTACCCCCCTGACCTGAGCCTGCGGGAGCAGAGAAGCCAGGGGATCCCCTCATTCTCTTGTGCTTTCTCTTTGTTTCCTGAAGCAGAACTGAACTAGAGGGCCAGTGCAGCGCTGCCTTCCAGGCCTCTGTCCTCGGTGCGGCCTGAGTGCAGTCAGGGCAAACTCTCCATCTTGCCCAGGAGGAGGGTGGGGAGCATCCCGCTGGCTGGGCCAGCGCTGGGCCTCTGGTGACCTGCCTGCCCGCCTGTTGGCATTGGCTGTGCCCTGGGCCTTCTGTCTAGCTGTGGGAGCTGGGGCTTCAGTTGGGAGAGGAGGATGTGTGTTTCCTCTGCCCCACCTGCAGCTGGACCCCTTTCTTACTCTGTAGTCTTTTCCTATTTTTTATTTACTGTGAGATGTGTGTAGTGTAAAATTTACCATTTCAGCTGTTTTAAAGAAATTTCCCAGCAGGCTGAGAGGCTCTTAAGTTTTTTTAAATGTGAGGTATACAGAAGGTGAAATCCATCTTTGCCATTTTAGCATAGTCCAGTGGTGTTGGGCATGCTCACATTGTGCTGCCATTGCCACCCTGTCTCTGGGCCTTGTTCATGTCACCAGGTTGAAACTGTACAAGTGCTGAATTTGTTTTCAAGGAACAACTCAGCAGCATTTGGTCTGCTCCCAGTGCCGAGCGACACTCCCCACAAAGGAGACCTCGTACCCATCAAGTAGCTGCTTCTACCTCCCTTTTCCCACGGGCCCTGCTGGCCTGCCTTCAGGGCTGTCCCTGTGGCCTTCTTCCCATGATGGAAAACGATAAATATGTCCGAGCGTTAAGTTTGCTCAAACTCTGTTGTCCTAAATTTTCATCTGCAGTGTCAGCGCAAGACTCGTGTGTTTTAACGTAGGGTTCATGCACTGCCTGGTGTAGAGCCAGGGTGCTCAGTTGGCAAATGGGTGTTCTAATTTTCAGTGCTCACGGGTCCATGCCAAGTGCGTGCCACGTGGGTGAACCCGGGGTGTTAAGTGAGACGGAAGTGGCCGGCAGGGAAGGTCACAGCACAGGGTTCCTCCTAAAGGCAGTGTCCTCAGGCAGCCTGTCCACCAAGGCAGGACAAAGGAGCTGGCTGGGTGCCAGGCCTGGGGGGAAGAGATGGTGGGGAGTGGCTGCCCCTGCGCTGCCCTGAGCACCACCACTCCGTGCGCTTGCGGAGGGCGAATCCTGTGGTCTGAATCATAGCTTAGCCGAAAGCATCGGGGCAGCTGGGTGAAGACAGACCATCTAGAGTGAGTGGAGAGGCCCAGGGGCAGCAGTGTGTGATGTCCTCTGGAGTTTGCCAGCAGGCACCTTAGGCTGTGGCACACAGGAGGGAGCCTTCAGGTCAGGGTGGAGAGCAGATGGGTGGGTCCCAAGACCCTTCAGAGTGTAGGGGATGCACAGGCTGGGGGAGTGATGGCCACTGAAGAATCTCAAGGCCTGTGACACTGGGTTTCATTCAGTGTGGCAGAGGTGGCTGCGGCTGAGGCACTGGGTTTGGGTGAGTGAGGTAGAGGGGGCCGCTGGGAGCCCCACTGGCCAGGGCAGGCCTGGCTACTGCTCAAGTCTGGTGCTGGGGGAGAGGTGGGCAGGTTGGGGCAGGGAGGACACGGAGGAGCCTGGCACAGTTGAATGCCTCAGTGGATGCCAGCATGCCCTGCTCGGTCTGGTCTTCCACTAGGAGCAGAGGAGGTGAATGGGAGGTAGCCTCCAGATACCTGCTGCTGTGGGCAGCCCTTGGGGCATATCGAGGTTGGGTCCTAGAGATGCAGAAAGGACATGGCTATCAAGGCCTGTCATGTTGTATCAAGGCCTCCCAGGGTGAGGGGGACAGGTCGGGGCTGCCCAGGGGAGTCAGCCCATAGCCACAACTGGGTACCGGGAGTCAGTTCTCTGCTGCAGAAGTGACAGTGGGCAGGAGTGTCCTGACCGGACCCCTTGTCAAAGTTCTTTGAGGTCTGGGGGAGGTCATGCTTGTGGTTCTCTGGCCAGGCTCCCACCTCAGCAGTACCCCCCTTCAGCCCTCAGCTGCCCTGCAAGTGTGCCACTGGGACAGACCAGCCAATGGCAGGCTGAGCTCAAGGAGGTGGGAGCTTGGGGACATGCTGTGCCCAACTCTCCTCTGCCCAGGGACTGTCCATGCCTTTGGTGCCCACTTTTGGAGTTAGGGCTTCTTGCAGGGCCTTCTGGGGAGCTGCAGATGGCACTGGCTGAGTGACTCCCTTCTGGCCAGGTGGGGCTGATGGGGAGGTGAAGTTGAGAGCTGATGGCCCTGCTTATACCAGATGTGGCTTCTCAGTTTGTGTTGGGCCCTGGGACAAGTGACTTCCTGGAAGGGCCGCTCTGCACTTTGGGCAGGGCAGTAGCCCACGGAATCCTGCACACCTTTGGGCAGGTGGGTAGTAGGAGACTAGATCAGCCCTCTGGAGTGACTGCTTGGAAGCCAGGGGTCCTCCCAACTAGGCCTATGGTCCCATGCTGCCTAGCAGGGTACCCCCAGGGGCCTGTCATGCTGTCATACTAGCTGGGTAGCCTCTGCTGCCCTGGCTGGGCAGGTGATCTGCTAGAACAACCACCAGCAGGTCCCCGTGAGCTGTGCTCTACCTTAGTGGGCCCTGCGGTGTTCCCCACACCCACCCACGAAGACTGTGTAGATTCCAAAGGGTAATCCCTGGTGTCACTGTGCAGGGGAGCCCGGCCAGGAGTGCTGGTGGCTACAGTCCCTGAGGCCATAGTACTCGAGCCAGTGGGAGGAAGCTGCTGGATAATGATGGGGAGCTGGAGGTGGTCTGGGTAGGGAACCTGCTTGGGGTCTGGCCACAGATGTGTGTGGCCTTCTCTGTCCAGGGTTATGCCAGTGCCCAGAAGCAGCTGCAGTTCATGGGCCAGATGCTTGATGCTGTGCAGAGCCTGGCCATTGGATATTCCAGTTATCCCAGGTAAAGGTCCCAGTAGCTGCCGGGGGCCCTGGATTGGCGGTTCTGTCTCAGACGCAGAGCTGGTGGGGTTCTGGGTGTTGGGACACATCTCCAGCTGTGGTCTTACCATCCTCCTTTGGTGGCAACAGCTACATGCTGGTCTAGGAGCTAGAGGTTCAAGCTGACACGGGACACCCCCATCCTGTGACCAGGTAGCTGGTGTACTGAGGTCCCAGGTCATTGCCCAAGGTCCTGGCTCATGAGCGCCAGGACCTCCAGGAGGAGAGCCCGAGCACACTAGAGGAAGGTGTGTGCCTTGCTGCCCTTCTGCGTGGCTCTGGAGCAGGCACAGACTGGGAGAGGTACGGAGCAGTGGCATTCCGGCACCCAGCCCTGCTGCAGGCTCTCCTTCCCCTCTGGGGTCTTCTGCCTGGGACCCAAGGCTGGTCGGGCCACTGTCCCTGCTGTGATGGCAGCCCAGACCTGTATGTGCAGTGTGAAGGAGCACCTTGAGGACACTGCCGAGAAGAATGAAAAGTTGCTGGAGGAGCTCTGTGGCACGGATCTGGAGATGCTTCTGAACCCCGAAGCGGAGCCATGGCCCTTGGACATGCAGCCTGTCCTCGAGGATCAGAGTGATGAATGTGAAGGGTAAGCGTGTCCAGGTGGGCTGCAGCCCTGCCCGCTTCTGCCCACTAGGGTCAGGCTTGGCGTGTGTGGCAGAGAGCTGCAAGTGCCCCTTCTTTCCCTGTAGGCCCAGCCCCTTGTCCCAGTGGGAGCAGGAGAAGGTGGTGGAACTGGCCAGGCAGCTGCAGGAGGGCGCAGCCAGGCTGTGGGCCCTCAGGGCCGAGGTGAGGACATTGGCTTCTGGGGTTGTGGGCCTCAAGGCCTAGGCCTCATTTTGAGTCCTGGGGCAGCCCCATCCTTGCCTGATGGGCTGCGAGCGTGAGGTGGGTGCTTCCTGTGCTGGGAGCTGTGAACCTCTCCTGGAGGGGAGGCTCAGCCCGAGCAGCTTGCTTCATGTACTGTTGCAGGCTGCACTCCCAGCAGCCCTTGATGGGGCTCTTTTGGGGGCAGAAACTGCAGCCCGTGTCTGCATGCGCAAGCATTAAGGCGGAGGCTTGACAGGGCTGGCTCTCAGCCTCCCACCTGCTTGCTGGATCTTTTCTTACATTTCAAAATTAAAAGGTTTTATTAGTGTACATTTGCAAGACATAGTAGTTAGCTTCGTTTGGGGAGTTTGTGTACATTCTATATCATATCCTGATCATTTCCGATCTGCCCTGTCTGTCTTCCCATTTCCACCAAGCCTGCCCACTGAACAGGAATGTGGGCTGGCCAGGCAGGGTGGCCTGTCACTGTCTGTGTTGGCTTTGCAGAGCTTGGAGAAGCAGAAGGCTGGGGAGGCTGCAGGTGGCGCTGACACCAGCATGCTGGAGCAGAAGCTGCGTCTGGTCATCTCTGACTTCCACCAGCTGGTCCTGGCCTTCATCCAGGTCTATGACGACGAGCTAGGGGAGTGCTGCCAGCGCCTAGCCCCTGACCTCCACCCGTGTGGCCCCATCATCCAAGCTGTGCACCAGACTCTCACTTCTTGCAATCAAGTAAGGACCCTCCTGTTCTTTTGTCTCCCTTTGTGCCCTGCCTGCCGTGCCCAGAGCTCATACCTGCCTGGGGATCCACGGGACACGAGGCCTGAAATGAGCTTAGGCTCCCTGAGCCAGTGTGGCATGACCAGGCTCTGAGCTTTAGGCCCAGGACCGTTGGGGGCCTGCAGCAGGCACATCTTGTGGCTTGGACGGGGGAGGGCTGTTGTAGATGTTGTCCCCAAGAGATCACTGTGGGCTGTCATTTGAGCCTAGACCCCAGGCCCTGAAGAGCTCTGCACACTGCCTTCTTGGGTCCTACTTGACCCAAGATGCACTCCGCATCCCGCTTCCAGCTCCTGCCCCTAAATTGACCTTGCTCTGTGTTTGCATCTTGCCTAAGCATACGAGGGTGCCTCCTGGCTAGCGTATGACTGAGCACATGTCATGGAAGGAAGACACATGTCATGGGTCTGTGCCTGTGAGCCAGCCCTGGCGAGACAGGCTAAGCTGACTAAGTGAATGTTGCCTTATTTTGTTATTCTGTGGTTTGGCTCCTCAGGGCCAGCTGGGCTTGCTTATGATCCCTGTGTTGCCATGTGCATGCCCTGACATCGGCTCAAGGGTTCTGTGACATTGATTTTGAGTTTTTACCAGAAAGGCTCCAAGACGTCCCAAGCTCAGGCCAGGCTGTCTGTGACACTTATACAGTACTAACAGTGAGGGCACAGTCCTCTTCCAATGCACATTGTTTTCTGCGTTGTCATCTGCTTGTCTTGGGCTGGGACAGCACACAGTGCTGCAGAGGGCCATGGTAATGCAGCATCTCCAGTGCCCAGATGAGGGAGACTCGAGCTCTATTGGCAATGCTGCCGCTACGCATTCCTTCTCTTGCCTCTGACTGTTCGACGGGCTGAATGCCACGTGCGATGTCGGGTGAGAAGCTGGAGGTGCCACCTGCAGGTAAGTGCTACACATGTCCTCCCTCCCTGCCAGCTGTTGCAAGCAGTCGTGGAGGTCACGGACGCCTCTGCACAGGCCACGGATGCGGTGGAGAGGCAGGAGAACGAGCCTATCTATTGGGACAGCAGCAGCTCCGTGATGAGCCTAGGTGCGTGGTCACAGTGGGTGTCCCAGCCTGGCAAAGCAGGGCACCCCCTTGGCTTAGGGCCTGGGTCTGGCATAGCCTCATCCTTCTGTGCCTCACCAGCCCTTGGGGAGCATTTGGGGGCTGATTCCTTGGGTATTCTTTTCCTAATTGCCGTTTCCTTCTGCAAAGATGCTTTCAATGGCTTCTGAAGGCGGAAGTCCCTGTTAGGAAGTTAGGGTGACCGAGGGATTTGCGGAAGTAAGAACAAAAGTGACCCCTACTCTGGCAGCCCACAGGCGGTTGGTGTTGGTGTTGGTGTGGTGGCCCATCTCCTGCTGTTTTTCCCTGTTGCTGTCTTTCATTGCCAAGTGCTATTGTAATGTCCATCTGCTTTTCCATGGTGCCCTTTCCCTTGGCTCATTGTCAGCCCAAGGGAAACGTGTCACTGTCACGTGTCACTGTCAAACTCCAGTCCATCCAGGCATCTGTTGCACTTGGCTTTGGAGTTTCCATGGCTGAACCTGTAGGTTTTCCTGTGTTTCACTGTTAGAGTTTGGTATGGTTTACATCTAGAATGTTCCCTAGAAGACTGTGAGCATCTAGAATGTTCACAGGTCTAGAGGTGGGGGTTTGCGAAGGTGACTGGTGGGGGGGCGCGGAGGGAGGCCCCCGCTGTACTCATCTGGGGACTGATCCTGGGTGAGCTCTTGGGAGGTGGGGTCTGGCTGAGAGTATGCATTTTTAAGGGTGTTTCCCTCCCTCTCCCCCTCCCTTTCTCCATTTCCTGGCTGCCCCTAGGGGAGCAGCTCTCCCCCTCTGTGCCCTTCGGCCATAGAGCCAGCACACCGTAGTCTGAAAGTGACCAAGACATGCGTAATACCACTTCGGGCTTTATAACAGTCAAAAAGTAGAAACAACCTTAAGGCCTGCATTAGCAGTGCTCAATAAGTGTTGGCTTATCGTGGTGGGGTGGTGGTCACTGTTTTAAGCACTGGTTCCCGTGACATGTTATAAATGTGAAAGGCGAAATGCGTATTAAGAAACAAGATGCACAGTATGACCTCGCCTTTCTAAGGAAGAACCATGGCTGAAACTCCCTGCAGGAAACGAGACAGCCTGTGAACACTGGTGCTTTGTGCATTGGAATTCCGAGGTGGCCTGGGGTGTTCTTCAGCCTTTTCTGTCATCTTCAGAGAGAGTTCAGAGAGTTCAGCTGTGAGCGTGTGTCGCTTGGGCTGCTTTTGCCCTTGACAGAAGGACGCCGTGAGCATGTTTGGACACAACGTGTTTTCCTTGGTTTGGATTCCAACCTCGATACGTGTGCCCTCATCTCAGTGAGGCCAGGTGATTAGGCCACATGATTGCCATCTTACCTAGCAGCTCCAGACTTGGTCCTTCCGACATTCCTGCTTGTGGACCTTGGCAGAATTATTTCTGAATTTGCTTTTAACTAAAGTTTTTCTGCCTGCTTCTTTAATTGTACAAATGTGCATTTTAAAGTGTGTTCTTTTTGAAGAAGAGAAGTAGCATTTTGGGGGTGCATCAGCTGGGGAGGCTCTGCAGGCCAGCTGACTTGGATGTTTTCCCAGTGCCACGTCAAACCCCTTTATTCCAAGTCAGATGACTTCAGAGTGGGTATTTGGGTTGCCACGGCCCAGGTGGGAAACGGAACATGGCTACTGTGTGTACCTTATGGTTGCGTGCTTCCTGCCCCTGGTCTCTGCTTCCTGACTTGATATTTCTTTGCAAGATTGCTGTGCACCATTTGCCAATTGGTCATTGTGTTGCGGTGTGGCACAAATTGGCCAGCTTTTTCAGTTCAGGACTAGGCGGGCAGTGTTTGCAGCCTGAGGGCTGTGCAGTGTACATGGCAGTGTGCAAGCACCACCACAGTCAGGGTAAAGCAGCCGTGGATCAGTGTGGGCAACGAGGGCGGCCGCGTCTCCAGACATGTCTTATAGAACCAGGCGATGAGCCTTCTGTCATGTGTCGTTCCGCCCCTGGCCTTCATCGCGCTGTTTCTCTGTGCGGCTCTGCCCGGATGTGCGGGTGGTCAGCAAGGACACTGCGGTGAGCGTGCTAACTGTCACCCTGCATGGCTGGTTTCTCCAGGTGGGACCAGAACCCTGGCTTCTGCCTTGGGGCATGCCTGCCTGTGGCCCATGGCCCACTCACTCGCCCCTTGCCCGGTCTGACTTTGTGATTGGTGCCCGTCTGTAGGTGTGAAAGGCATTTCATTCTGTCTTTGGCATTTGTCTAATTTCTAACAGGGTTGTAGCTTTTGTACATTTACCAACTGTCAGCATTTTCTCTCTCACCAAGTGCCTGTTGAAGTCTTTCCCCTGTTTATATGCTGAGGACCTCTTAGGCACTCTGTTCATACGTAGTAGATTTTAAGGGCAGTGTAGACTTTCCTACTCCAGGATCGCCTTGCCACCTGCAGGTGGGTGAGCAGTCCTTCCCGAGATGATTGTTGGGGTGGGGTAGGAGTCCAGCTTCAGTGTAGCCTACATGGATGCACAGTGTCCCAGCACCCCTTTCCCATGGTTTAAAATCCCACCACCTCTTCCAGTTAAGTATGCATGCGCATGTGGTCTCAGCGTTCCCTGTTCTGTTTCTCTCTTTCTCCCTGTCATGTCTTCATTGTATTTTAGGAGATTAGAATATAAATGGCAGAATAAGCCCAAAGAAGGAAGGCAAAGGCAGTTTCTTCACCTTGTTCTTTGCTTTTTATTCTGTCCCTTCTCTGCCTCTCTTGTGTTAGAAATCGAGCCCAGGGCCTTGCACACCCTAGGCATGGCCCTACCGCAGAGCCACACCCCAGCCCTATTTTTAGCAGTAGTTTTCCTGAGCTGTAATTCACACACCATAAATTTACGCTTTTCAGAGTGTGCAGTCCAGTTTTTTAGGGTACTGGCAGAGTCATCCAACCATCACTACTAAGGCCACAATATTTTCATCACCCTAGAAGGAAATCCCATACCATTAGCAGTCATTCCCCGTTCCTCCAGCTCCAGCCCTTTCTGCACATCCTATAAATAGACACGTGAAATCTGGGGCCTTCTGTGTCTGCCTCTTACTGAGCATACAGCTTTCGAGGCTCATTCACACAGTGCGTTCTGCCTCATGACTCAGTGGTTTCCCAGTGTGTGGCTCGATCGACTGTGTGTTGCTTATCTTCCCTGGGGGGCGTGTGGGTTGTTTCTGTCCATCACGGCTGATGCTGCTGTGAGCAGTGCGTGTGAGCGTGCATTTCCACTTCTCGGATCTAACCCAGGTGAGCCGCTGGCTCACAGGGTGACTTCCTGAGGGACTGCTCGCCTGTTCTATTCACGCTGCCCACCTCTGCCATTTAATAGGGCTTTCGGATAGCTTGGCATTTCATAGAGTTACTGCTGAGGTTGAATCTGCCATTCCGCACGACTCCGAGAGCTTGCTAAAGCCCCTCTCTGTTCTTCAGGGTTACATATTCTAACCACTTAGCAGTTAGTGTTTATTTAGATCAAGGGACACTGCCAAGGGGGACAGTGGTGGGTTTCAGAGGAGAGCGCGGTCAGGGTGAGGGACCAGGTTTTTCCTGAGGGTCGGAGGCTAGGGGACGGTGCTGGGCTCAAGTGGGATCGTATAGTGTCGCGAACCGTGTAGCACCCTGCAGACTCTTGGGAAGCACCTGGCCTCAAAATTGTGTTTATGGCCCTGCTTTGACAAGGCCACTGCCTGGGGCCTTTAGTCTTAGCTGAGGAGGTGGTGAGGAGGTCCATGCGTGTCTTTCAGGAGGGTGGGTCCTACACGGGGCAGCGAGTGGGCCTCCACCGAAAGGCTCCCTGCTGTTGCCTGCCAGAGGCGGTTTCTGCTATTTTTTTTTTTAATACTTTAAAGTATTTGTTAAGCAGAACGAAAGAAAAGGAGTTAAAAGATGAAATAAATGTTGCATGAAGAGTTTTCTTGCAAGTTCTGGTGGACCCTGGAACTTCAAAGGTGTGGCTGGAGCCTCGGTTCTTCTGCTGAATTCCATGGAGTGATTCCTTGTTGTAAGTTTTTTGTTTTACCTGTTGTACAGCCTGCTGGTGCTTTTTGTTTTTTGGAACTGAGACTCGAACTCAGGACCTAGCGCTTGCCAGGCAGGCGCTGTGCTGCTGAGCTGTGTTCCTGATTCTTTTTGTTACTGAAGCTCGTCTGCTTTCTTAAGCTCATTTTCTTGTAAAGCAGTGCTATCTTCACTTTCCTTTGGTTCTTCCTCCAGTGTCTCCCAGCTGTCTCCTTTTCCGCAGCTTTTAAAAAGTTTCCCAGAATCAGCAGTGAGCCTTTGTAACGACCTCATTCGTGACGTGTTTCTCAAGCTAACCCGTTCTGTGGGCATTGCCACCATCTCATCCTCCTTTGGGGGCCTCGTATAACTTTGTCCAGCTCCTTAGTAAACAGGGCCTGTAATTCTTGTTCATCCAGGAATCCATGACTATTTACATCATGGAATTTGAAAAACGTCTTGGGGTCAAAGTCAGCAGGGTCCAGCCCACGAGTCTGTTCTTGTACCTCGTGGCTGACCTTGGTTTCCTGGATGATGACTTCGGGATGAGCCGTCACGTCTTCAGCTAGTGTTTTAAATGTGCCCTCTGTTCATGTTCCTTCATTGTTTCATATTTTTAAAATTCTTCATGTTGATGCTTATCATACTGTTCCAGGGCATTGGCTGTCACTTTGATCAGCATGTTTGAATGTGTGGATTCAGACTTGTCAGGATGCATGTGGTTTAGGTGACCAAATCGTTTTGAAGAGCTTGGTGGTTCATGCCTGTATCTTTTTTTTAACATTAAGGTTTTATTGGTACCTTTTGGATCTAGAGAATGATCGCATTAATCATAGAGAATTTGTCCTATATCTTGAGGAAATCCATTTTAGCTTTGAGTAGCATCTTACCCTTCTGACTTCTTGCCTTTTCAGATCATCAGGTTTTGTCCCCACCCAGTGACCTACTGAGGCCAGCTCTGTGCTTAGCCTCTCTTTATTTCCTGTGTGCCTGCCTTCTGAAGCTTTTCTCTGAAATGCTTACGTTTCCAGCACATCAATAGCTTGCTTGAGATAGTCATCAGAGTAAAGGCCACTATCTGGCAGTTCCATCTTGGTATTTTCCACCCGTTCGGGATTTTGTGCTTTTTGCTCGTTAATGTCTGGAGGCACAGCTTGGAGAGCAACAAGTAAGCATGTGACCTACAGTAGGGCGGCCCTCACCTCCTGTTCCCCCATACCGGGTCAGGAAGAATGAGCTTCTGCCCTCCGTCATCCCCCACTTCTTTAGATAGGAAGGAATTTTTATCTTCTTTTTTACAGATGAGGCAACTGAAATCCAGGGAGATGGGATGACTTGCACAATACCAAGTTAATGAAGAGTTACTCTTTTTTTTTTTTTCCAAATCCATCTTATTTCAAAGAGGGAAAAAATAAAATAAGACAAAATTTCAGAACACGTCCGTCTGGGGCAACAATGGTACATACACTGCGCATTGTCATCCCCAAATCTTTCACCCAGAGCACAGGAGCTCTGCATTCAGTTGTCCGAACAGTACCGGCGCAGATCTTCCTCTTCAGTGAACTCCGAGAAATCAGTAGTGTGACTACCGTAGCTAGCTTTTCATTACACACACATACACGTGCACGTATACATGTTGTTTCTTTCAGCTTCTCACACTAGGGAGACAGTACGATGTTTACGTGTACTCTTGACTCCTAGTCCAATGCGTGTTTTGCAAAAAACTGACTCTCGGGTTCCTGGGAAAGCAGACAAAGCACCGCAGAGGCGCTACCCTTAGAAGCAAGCTGGGCCAGTGTGAGGCTGCAGACCAAGATGAGAAACAGCAGCTCACCCCGCTAGATGTCCACCATGCCACGTTTGTGTTCCTCAAAGCTGAAGAACGAATTTTATGGAATAACAGAGGTTAAGAGTGGGGAAGATTCTTGGGAAAAGGAATAGGGAGTGGGAATAGCTCCTGAGGTAACTGTAGGGGTCCCGAATGGGTTGCCCTCCTTTGGTTTCATGAGACAGGGTCTCGCTGTGTAGTCCAGCCTGATCTTGAACTGGCTTTGTAGCCCAGGTGGGCCTGGAACTTGCAGCAGTCCTCCTGCCTCAGCCTCCTGAGTGCTGGAATGACAGGCTTGCGCCACCATGCCTGGCCAGAGGAGGCCTTCAACTGGAATTCCTGTGAGGCTTTGCAAGTGTTTTCTTAGTCCCTGGTTTTCGTCCTTGTGGGGAGTGGTGCCTGCACATGACACATCTTCGTTCTTTCTGTGTCCCTTCCCCTCCCTTCCTCTCGGTCACCTTCACTTTTGCAAAACATCTGTCTCCTTGTTTTCTATTACGTATCTTTTCTTTTGCTTTTTTTTGTCTTTCTGAGCCAGGGTCTCACTGCAGTTCAGGCTGGCCTTGAGCTCACTTTGTAGCCCAGGCTGGTCTCAAAACTCCAGTGATTCGCCTGCCTCAGCCTCCCGAGTGCTGGGGTTACAGGCTTGTATCTTTATTTTACTTTAGAGGGTTTATACTATGTGTTTCCCCTTTAAGAGAAGCTGTGTGATATTTAACATTGCAGTCTCAGGTGCACCCATTTTCCTGCACATGACACAGACGGGTCCTTCTTGGTGGCAGTGTAGTGAGTAATGCCAGTTTTTCGGTCTCTTCGTCAGTCAATGGACATGTAGCTGCTTCGCATACTGACCTTGGAGAAATGGTTAGAATGTTAGTCCCTGTCTTTGCTGACACATGGCTGCTGTGAAGTAGACAGGAATGGGAGGTGGGAGCCCAGCGCTTGGGAGGCTGGGGTGCTGGGAGCAGTGGGGCGCCGGTCTCTGTAGGGCGTGGTCTGGCAGGTGTTCAGGGAGGGAACCCTCGTTTGCTCTTTTGTGAAGAAGGTGATGCACACAGATGCCTTCCTGGCCTCAGAGGGTCCAGACCTGCCCTCTGCAGCTCCTCTCCAAACTCCCTGGAAGGGGACCCCAGGAAATGGCTCTTGTCACAACTGTGAAGACAGAGGACCTGGATACATGACTTGGGACATTCAGATACAAACCATGTGAGCCCACTTGGTGCACCGTCCACCTTCACGCAGACAGCCAGGAAAACCCAGGAAAGCAAACCGAGGTGGCTGATCTCTTAAGAGCAGAGAGCCAGCAGGTGGGAGCAGGAGCCGAGTGCTGAGTGGTGCGCACAGTCCCAGGGGCCGAGAGAAGAGCCCAGTTTGGGTTTGCATCGGAGCCTGCAGGATGCTGGCATGGACCCAGCCCACTGCCACGGGAGTGTCAGGGCTGGCATCGGGGGCCGGAGCTTGGAGAGAAGAAGCCGTGCTCAGTGTCAGGAGATGCCCCTTGGGAATGCAGAGGCTGGGAGGCTGGGTTCTGTGGGCCTGGACACCCCACATTGCAGGGAGCCCCTTGGGATTTGGTAAAGGGAAGCACCATCTGCAGAGAGATGTCCCCTCTCTGGGCACTGCTGCAATGTTGATGTAAGGGCTGGTCCCCAGGGCACAGTTGAAGGGCCTGTCTCTGAGATCAGAGCCACCTACTCAGGCCTCACCCTGAGGCACATCCCATGAGCCCCGAGCTCCATGGCCACCCTCGTGCTCAGCAGAGCTGCTGGTGCAGCTCAGGTCAGTGGTCATGTCCTTGCCTTGTGAAAGGCAGCATGTTGCTGAGCCTGGGGCTGGAGGAGGGGAGGGACAGGATAAGCAAGGATGAGCCAGGAGGGCAGCGGAAGAAACAGGTGTGATGGAAGTCAGGGACCTCAGGGCTGTCCCGTGGCATTGGGGATGGTACCGTGTGATTCAGATACAACTCACTGTCAAAGTCAGGCCAACTCCCGGCTCATGGAGTGGCAGGCGGGGTTGATGGGAACAGCATGGCCTGGCCTGGGCTTTGATACTGTGTTGTGGTCCATGTGATGTGGCCTGAGATGTGCAGGCCTTCTTGGCAGCTCTGTGAGGGTCACAGTGGACATTGGGCCATGTTGGGCCCTCTGTGTCATCCCCAGAGGGACCCGGCATGATACCCCACTTCTTCCTGCCTGGAGGCCCTTACCTCACTTGGCTTTTGTGTTTTTCTTTCCTTTGCAGCCACCAAAATAGAAGAACTAACACAGAAATACCAGGTCTTCAATGACAGCCTGCAGGAGGGCATGAGATAGTGTGGGGCTACGGCCTTCGGCTCCTGGGGGGTGGGGTGGGGGGACAGGAAACCTCAGGCTCGCCCAGTAAGTTGCCTTTCACCTGTTCTTTGCCTCTGTCACTGTGTCACCCTTGTCCCCTCCAGCCTGGGCTACATGGCCTCCTTTCTGTCCTCATGGGCCCAGGTCCCCTCTGCCTACTGCTCCCACTCCTCCCGTAGCTGTCCAGTGAAACTCGGTGTGTCCCGCCCACCTCGTCTTGCTGCACCCCGAGTGGCCCTTCCTGCCTTTGCGGCCTCGGGGTTCCTGGGCACACTCCTCTCAGCCCTGTGCCCGGGAGCTGGCCTGTCTCCTTCCGCCTGCTCAGATGTTAAGTACCCGCTGGGGAATTCTTGACATGGCCTGACTGGTTGTCCCGGAAGCTGCTCTCTGGGCTTCCTGGGTGACCCAGTATCTCCCTGAGCAGTGCACCTGTCATGGCCACCTCCCTTCCTTGGGGCTTGGAAACAGGCAGGACTGGCAGGGCCCCGCCCTTCCTTGCTCCCCCAAGTCTTCTGCGGGCACTCGAGGCCAGGGGGGGCCCTTTGGTCCAGTCATCACTGTCCAGGTGAGCCAGTTGTGTGATAGGCCCAGGAGGGCCACTTCGTGCCCTTGCTGTCAAGTACTGTCCTCTTGTGCTCTACAGTGAGGTCCTTGGGTGCCACATACTTCCTGGAGTGAGTCTTGTGGTCATCCTCCATCCTGATGGTGCCCTTTACCCAGAGCCAGGTGGGCAGGAAAGGCCTGAGAGTGTCACCCAGCTGGCCTGTGCCACTTTGTCCCCACACCTGCCTTCACCACAGCTTCTGCTAAGTGCCTGCACACTTCTGGGACTCTCTTAGTTGGAGCAGGTCCAGCCGCTCTGGACAATGGACATGCACTGCAGGCTTCATGACCCTGATGGTTTGTCCTCGGAGAGTACCCCTTCCTTCCCCTTCACAGGCTGCTATGGCTTGCCTGCACCCCGAGGGCTTGTGTAGGGGACCTGTGGCTTTGGGTGGTCACCCAGAACAGGGCCTGAGCCCACCAGAAGGCAAGACTGGGCGGTGGCTGCAGCCTTTGCCGGCCCAGCTTCCTCGTGCCTGTGAGGACTCGCTCCTCCTGCCTGCGGCAGGGGCCTCGCTCACTGACAGCCTGCATGTGTGGAGCCTGCTTCCCAACGTGTAAACACGGGCGTGTGTCCCGGTGATGGTGCGCTGGCGAGGGGGCGGCGAACGAGCCGGCTGCGCAGGTCCTGCGGCCTCCGGCCCCTGGTTGCCCAACACGCGCCGGGGGCGGGCCCCAGCCGCTGATTAAAGGCTGCCCGGAGCAGCCTGTGCGGAGACAGGTGCCAGCAGCCAGCAGTGCAGGACGCCAGCCAGCTCCCGCCCCAGGTAAGCCAGTGAGGTGAGGTTGGTGCAGAGGGCCAGAAGCCGGCCGGGGCAGCGTTCCTCTGCTGGGGAGGCCGCCCATTGCCAGGCTTCCCACAGCCCACCCAGGCACAGAGGCTTGGGGCGTCCTCCCGGGGCTCCAGCCACAGTGCTGCTGGTGGGCTGCTCGCTTTTGTAGAACCCTGCCGGGGCCTGTGCCTGCTACGGGCCTTAGGGTCAGGCCTTAGGTGAAGAGCGGAGGGTCCTACGCCTCATCTGATGATGATGCTCCTGCCTTCTGTTCCTCGCTTTGTGGCAGGATTAGGGTGCAGGGACAGAGAGGAGCGGGGAGCAGGTTCCTTGGGGGCTCCATCCTGGACAGAAGGGACAGTCATGGGCCCCAGCCCCTAATCCCAATGCTGCAGAGGCCCCTAGATGAAGCCACTGCTGGAGGCAAAGGCTGCTTGGGGTGTGGCAGGGGCCAGCATGTTCGTGTCGCCTTAGACTCTCCCCGCTTGCTCTGGCAGCTTCAGGTCTTGTCGTCCTTGTGAGAAGACCACCATGTCCAAGCCACCTCGGGCCGAGACCTTTGTCTTTCTAGACCTGGAAGCCACTGGGCTGCCCAACACAGACCCTGAGATTGCCGAGATCTCCCTTTTTGCCGTGCACCGTTCCTGCCTGGAGAACCCAGAGCGTGGCGAGTCCGGGACCCCCATGCTCCCCCGTGTCCTGGATAAGCTCACTCTGTGCATGAGCCCGCAGCAGCCCTTCACTGCCAAGGCCAGCGAGATCACCGGCCTGAGCAGTGAGGGCCTGGCGCGGTGCCGGAAGGCTGGCTTCGACAGCGCCGTGGTTCGCACCCTGCAGGCCTTCCTGAGCCGCCAGGAGGGCCCCATCTGCCTTGTGGCCCACAACGGGTTCGATTATGACTTCCCCCTGCTGTGCACAGAGCTGCAGCGCCTGGGTGCCCACCTGCCCCAGGACACCATCTGCCTGGACACGCTGCCAGCACTGCGGGGCCTGGACCGTGCCCACAGCCACGGCACCCGGGCTCAGGGCCGCAAGGGCTACAGCCTGGGCAGCCTGTTCCACCGCTACTTCCAGGCTGAGCCGAGCGCGGCGCACTCTGCTGAGGGCGACGTGCACACGCTGCTGCTCATCTTCCTGCACCGTGCTGCTGAGCTGCTCGCTTGGGCCGATGAGCAGGCCCGAAGCTGGGCGCACATTGAGCCCATGTATGTGCCTCCCGATGGCCCGAGGAGTGAGGCCTGAGCACTTGTGCTTGTGCAGTTGCTGGCTCGCTCCCCTGGCCTGGCTCAAGCCTGCGGCCGGCACCAACTAGAACTTCGCTGCTGCACTCTGCCCGGTCCTGCCCAGCGGAGAGCCCTGGCCCCATGCTCCTGCCCGGCTGCTGGCCCTCCCTACCTCTGGACAGCTTTCGAGCCCTAGCAGTCTGCTCTTCCTGGCTCCTTCCTTCCTCATTTCTCAATAAAACATCACCAGTTTCTCACCAGCTGACTCACTGGCCAGACCCTTGGGAGGCAGAGAGCCACGTTGGGCTGGAGTGGAATCTTTCTCCCCCTCCCCACACACACACACTGTGGCCTGTCCCTGTGAGTTTGTGGGTGGGGAGACAGCAGCGCTGCTCTGCTCCAAGGGATGATGGCCTGGGGCTACAGACCCTGAGCTACCAGCCACCTGCCTGGCTGGCTCCTCATTGTCACCCTGAATATCAGCCCCAGAGGTCCAAGAAATGAGAGGAGCAGGGTCTTAGGGTGCACAGACTGCGACTGTGCCTGAGACCGTGGGGAGGGGAGCTGGGTTTGCAGGGCTGCCACCTTCCCTGGTGCAAAGCTGCCTTCATCCCTTGCCTCCTGCGGACCTGCCCGGGGACCTGTCCCTGCTCTCTGCAGTGGCAGTTCAGAGTGGGCTGATAGGTATGGGGTGCTGGCAGGAGGAAGCTCCTGCCAGCTGTGTACAGGTGGGAGGCAGGCGGTGGGCGCCGACCCGAGGCCCCAGGCAGGAGAAGCAGGAACCCACCTGGGGCCTACAACCCTGGTGGTGTGCCCCCGGGAGGGCTGGAGGCCTCCACAGGGAAGCAGCCACCTACCCAAGTTTCTGGTTGCCAGGGAACCTGCCTCGGGCCCCACCCTGAGGTACTCTAGTCTGGGGCTGCCTGTGCCACCAAATGCTGGGTCAGGGAAGAAGGGGCGGAGTGGCCATGCCCAGGTGACTCACATGAGCCACGTCACCAGCCTCGCAGCAGCCAGGTCCATTTGGGAGAGCCAAAGTGGGTCACAGTGAGTAGGACTGCTGCGAGTGTGAGGTGGCAGGATGCCGAGGCAGGACCACGTCACACCATCCTGGGGCGAAGGAGGGACCAGAGGGCCGTGCTGGGGAGGGACAGGCCGTGACCTGCCTCCTGGCAGAGGCAGGGTGTGCCCCATGTGTGGACCCGTTGGCTTTCCAGGAACTCGGGTGAGCCGAAGGGCGCGCTTGGCTGTCACGTCGGAACTACCTCATCCGCAGCTCCCTGTGCTTACCTCGATGCCCCGGGGTGAGCAGAGCGAGGGAGCTCTGAGTTAGAACTCGGTGCCTTCAGTGCCGCTGCCAGTTGCTTCAGTCTGGCAGTGCACAGTGCTGCACCTGGCGCGCCAGCCTGCGGTACCACTTTCGCCACGGCCGGGCTCGAGTTGCTCACCCATGTTACCGGAGGTGCCCTTAGCGAGAGGTTCGAGACACATTGATCCGACTACATGCATCCCCTAGACGTGTGTCAACCTGTGGTATAGCGAATGTGGCTAGTGAAGACGGGACGGCTTGGAGTTTCTCCTTAAAGTTTTTCTTTGCGTGCTCCATGTCTGCAGCAGCAATGGCCCCCTTCAGTGATGGAGTCGCTATATGAACATAACACATCTGAATTCTTTTTACTCCCCCATCGCTGCCCCCCACCTTTTGGTCCCCTTTTGAAAAAGACCTAACTCCCTGTTTCCAATTGTGTAGCTTTCAGTTTGCTCTTTAACTTGGATTTCTTGTATAAGAGAACGCATGCAATGTTTGCATGTCTGCTTTACTTCACTTAGCATTAGGGTCCCAAGGTGTGTCTATCTTCCTACAGAGCACTCAAGTTTGTCCTTCTTCATGGCCCAGTGGTACTCCACTGCGTGTAAATAACACATTTTTATTATCCATTCATGCTTCCTTTGTTTTTAAATATAATGTATATAATTTAAGTTTTAATGAGTAGTAGCTTTTGCCAATCAGTTGTAAACATTCCCAAATATTAAACATCCCAGAATCACTCAGCAAGAAAAAAGCCAGATGATTGTATTGTAGTAGTGTTGGAAGGTGACACAGCCTAAAAGGTGGGTGACACGTGGGCAGTGTCTGCAGAAGCTGGCCATGCACCTACCGTGCCATCCCACGCTCCCACTCCGAGGCGTTCACTCAGGACAGGGGGATGAGTGGCCTGGCCACGCCTCTGCATGGAGAGTGGTGGTGCTGTGGACTCGCCAGCTCTAGAGCTCCAGCTCAGCCCAGCCACCTGCCTGCCCTTGACTGGATCCGTGTTATTGGTGGACACCTGGCCCTGGGGCGTGTAGCCAGTGGAGATGGATGGCCCTGGGAGACGTATGACACAATGAGAGCACATGGCTCCGTAGGACTCAGGAGAAGGTGGGACCGGCTGTGCGGGAGGGGGAGTCGGGAGGCGCAGGTGAAGGGCCGCCCTCCTCACCTGTTGCTGGGGGGACATGCAGCGTCACTGGAGGTCAAGGCCCTCCGTCGTGGGGAGCGGGCTCCCGTGGGGCTCCCGACACCCGGTAGCAGTGTCTCTACGCGCTGCCCTCGTCCCACACCCCAGCACACGCGTAGACTGTGAGTTTCTTTGGGACTTAATTGGCCTTTCTTTCCCTCCCTCTCTTACTTCCTTCATCTTTTTTCCCTTTCTTTCCTTTCTTCTCTCCTCTCTCCCTGTCATCCATCCTTCCTTCCTTTGTTATGGTGGGGACTGAACTCAGGACCTGCACTCCCAACACCTTGGTTTGCCTTTCTCCCCATTTTGGGGTGTCTTTTGTTTGTTTACGTTTTCTCCCAGGAATTGACTCAGTAGCTTGTGCTCTCCAGCAGGCACTGTGCCACCAAGCCAGACCCCCGACTTTGGTGTGTTTTGGCACAGGGTCTTGCTGTGTGGTCTAGACTGGCCTTAAACTCACTGTGCAGCCCAGGCTGGCCTTGAACTTGCCTCTTCTTGCCTTAGCCTCCCGAGTGCTGCGACACAGATGTGTCCCACCACACCTGGCTGCATTGGCCTTTGAGCCTCTTGAACATTTGCATCTCCCAAGGGATTCGCCTGGGCCGAGGCCTGGGAAATCCTTGTTATTTATGTCTCATCTCAGTCCGTAAAGGAAGGGCCGAGGGCTGCGTGTAGGCTGAAGAACAGGCGAGATGCAGAAACTTAAGTGTGGCATGGTTTTCCTTATGTGAGAAACCTAAAATACAAATGAATAAAAGCAAAATAAGTGAGAGATGGCAGGAAACAAAGAGGTGGCTTTTTAGATCTGGTGAAAAGGGGAAGGGAGAGGAGAGGAGAGGACGGGAGGAAGTAGAGGCAAGGAAATGGTTAAGACCCGTGACATGCATGCCCCAGTTCCTGACGTGTGTGTGGCTATTAGACATCATAAAAAGAACAGCTGCACGTGTCTTGCTCCTGACTTGAGGCTGGCGGTCCTGAATCAAGGTGGCGTCCTCCCATTCTGACCCTTCCACCTCCCAGCCTCAGAACCACCACCTTGATGGTTGGGTTTGTTTGTTTCCTTTCACTACTGGGGATTGAACCCAGGTCCTTTGTACTGAATTGCATCCCTGGCCCTTTTAATCTTTTATTTTGAGGCAGGATTTTGCTAGATTGCCAGATTACCCAATCTGGGTTTTGGACTGCAGTCCTCCTGCCTCAGTCTCCCAGGGTGCTGGAATGGCAGGCATGTGACACCATGCCTGACCTGTGACTTATTTATTTTATTTAGTTACTTATTTATTTCTTTTGAGGAATGGTTGTTCAGGCTGGCCTTGCACTTACTATGTAGCCCAGCTGGCCTCGAGTTCATAGAGATCCTCCTCGATCAGCCTCCTGAGTGCTGGGATTATAGGGGTGCACTGCTGTGCCCCGCATGGTGATTATATTTTACCTTATGAATCAGGGCACAAATACTCAGACCATGTGCATGTTTTGGGAAGGATATGGAGAGAGAGACAGAGAAGCTGTGATTCGGGATTATCCTTTCTTTCCTTTAAACGTTCTGCTTCCTTGAGCTGGTATCTTGGTTAATTCCATCTTTTACTCTGGCTTAGTTTTTGTTCTTTCTAATTTCCTGAGACAAAGACAAGCCTCCTTCGTCATTAGCCTTCTGGACTAACTGTGGGTGGGTTTGCCTGTGCCCCCCAGGCTTCCCATTCAGAGTCTTCTTCCTTTGGCTTCTAGATTGAGATTACACAGAATTTCACTCGTCACTTGCTTCCAGCCTAATGCTGGAATAGTAGAGCGTATCCCAATGTCTACGCAGTGAAGGGGCGCTGGGCATCCAGGAGGGTGGAACCTGGTGCTGCCGGATGCGTAGAAGGGGCGCTGGGCATCCAGGAGGGTGGAACCTGGTGCTGCCGGATGATGGTGTGAGGGCGCACTGCTTAGGATGTCGCCTTGTTGGCATGAATGCTGTGGTATCCTATGAAGTCTCTAGGACCATCCTGTTACCATAAGTCTGATGGTCAGCTTGATTAGGTTAGCGAACACGTGCTGATGAGCAAAGCCGCTCCTGGGTGAGCCTGGGTGGCCTCGGAGTGTGACCTCAGGGTCTGTGTCCAGCCCTCACCCACTCCTCCCTGCTCCAGTGTGCGCCAGGCGGTAGAACTAAGCAGCTTAGCCCTCATGCTGTGTTTGCCTTGGAGCCAGCTGACCATGGACTTTGTCCCCTGAAAAGTAAGCCTTGAAGTTGTGGGTGCTGAGGATTGTGTCTCAGTGGCAGGACAGCAGGAACTGCACCTCTAAGAAGTGTGGGCTTCTGAATGTAGTTCTAACATCTAGTTTGACAATTGTGTAACTATTCAGTTTCTTTATAGATTTGCTTGCTTTTCAAAATCTCTGACACCTGTCCAAATCTTTGGTAATATAGGAAAACATTCTAAGTACATTTTATCAAGGTCTTCATAGCTAGCAGTTTTGGTTCTGCACCTAGTTGCTGTATGTTTGTGCTTACTGCTTTATGACTGGATTATTCAGGACTCTAGTGACATTTGTCTATCAAGAGAACGTTTTTAGCATACTGTGATTCAACCCATGGCATCACACTGAGCTGCATCCCCACCTAGCCCTATTTTCTTTTTCTTTGAGGCAGGGTTCTGCCTGACATGGACTTGAATTTCTTGTGGTATTCCTGCCTCAGCCTCCAAGGGCAGTGGGAATACAGATGTATGCCAGCATGCCTGGCTGAGTGGTTTTGTTTTATTTTTGTATTT